CTTTGGTGACAGCTGTTTGAAGGGGCCCCTGAGGCAGGCTCCAGCGAGCCAAATCTGAACCCTGGACACCTGGGTCCGTTGAACAGCTTGTGCGATACAGGGTTACCCTGTGAGTCCGGCGCCTGCAGTACTGCGCTGCAAGTGAGAACTGAGAAGTTCTGGCCGGGTGGCATACCAAAGGGAGTAGTACTCCTAGATGGCCATAATACCCATCTCCGTTCCATCTTTGTCTTCCTGGGTTTGAGCCCGGGGACCATAGCTCAGGTTGGGGGGTTGTGCACGGGGCGCTTTGCTACCTTGCAGTCACACCCAAAGAACAGAGAGGCTAGGTTGCCTCCTGAGATACAAACACCTGGCATGTCACCCCCAAGCCCCACGTGATCTGCATCCTGTCTAGCCTTTGGAGTGTACTGTCACTGTGGCTTTTCTTCCCTCTGTTGTCTCCCAAAATCCCCTCTTCTGACAGAACAGGAGAACACTGTGGCCCCTTGGACCTCTTATAAACAGTTTTTCAGGTTCACGCAAAACAGAGGTGTAAGGAGAGGAGTTATAGAGCAAATGCGAAAAACTCTGTGAACAACCCACTCTGAGTGTTATTCTAGGTTCTTCTGTACCATGGGATGAAAACAGAACTCTAAGGTAACTGGCTAGAGAGGCTGCCCTCCTGGGTGCGTTAATTAGGAGATTATCCCACCCTTAGTCTCCCTGGGCCAATCATGCTAGTGGTTTATTTATAATTTATCTGGGAGGGTAGCATGGGGCTAGAGGAGGGAGGGGAAGCATAGAAGCATAAGGACCACAAAGCAACACACCAGGACACACCTCCGAGCCCTTTCTGGAACTCAAGAAGAGAGGAAGGGATTTTAACTTTCTCCTTGTTGTGGTGTCAGGGAGAGGTGGGGAACAAGAGCAGCAAAGGAAGAAGTGGGTAGAACCTACAGGAATAGGGACACAGGGTGATAGTGGACAAAGGATATATGGATAAATAAAATGTGGATATTTTTAGTCACGGGCAGGAGGCTGTGACTACCCAGTTAAACACTCTCTTACTGGTTTATATGGACAGATGACTGTGGAAATGAGTGTATGGGTATGGGCAGATGGAGATATTGCAGAGGGGAATTTGAGGCCCAGAGCCAGGCTGAATCCCCTGGAGAAATGAGGGTAGAAGAGGGCACAAGAGGCATCTGGCAGCCCTCTGTAGGAAGGAGAAACTTCCCTGAAAGGAGGTGTCCCCACATCATGATATCTGAAAAGAGCTGCCTCCTCACTGCCCGTTGTGGAACACAAGTTTCATTCTTAGTACTCAGAATAAGTATGGGAGAGGGCTTGGGTAAGTAAATGGAGCCCAGTCTTGATGTCAAGAGCATTTAAGGAGGGAAACTGGAAGACTTGCAGAACGGAGGAGAATGGCCCGCTTGCCACAATGAGTACAGTAAGAGGGTGGGCCAAGGAGCTGAAGGGAAGGTTGGAAAAAGAAAACACCTACTTCAAAGGTGACAGAGGGAGCTTTTGACAGGACCTCATGTCTTTGATGCCGAAAACTCCAGTCCTAAGATGAGAGTTAAATGTGGAATGCTAGTGGGTTTACAAAGTCAGCCAGGAGCTAGTGGAAGACCTGTCTGCGTCTCTGGTGTTCTGCTCAGGACCAGAGGGATTGTAATTCCCTGAGGCAAGCTCTTGCCTTCCCTGAACTTGTTTCTTTGTGCCAGTTCTCCAGTCCCTTGGATCCTAGAGAAGGGGAGAGCCATCTGGCCAGGCCTTCCTCTAGGGAAATGAGATGAGAAGGGTAATGCAGAGATGGCATGAGGTTCATCCCACTCACTACTGGTTAGGAAGGGCCCTTTCTACAAGGAAGTTCCAGTTTCTTTTCAACTCGTCCCACTTCCATAGGTCTTGAACCCATGCAAAAAAGGCAAATGAGCAGAGGGAGACGTTATCCTTGGCCCGGGGTCAGGGTAGCAAGGCAGTGGTGCTGGGACATTGGTTTTCACTCAGGCCTGAATCCCTGGGCTTCAGGAAGAGGGAAAAGTGACAGGCTGATGGGCTCAGGTTTTCTGAGAGCCAAAGGGTTTTCAGATTGGGCTCTTTCCTGAGGCAGGAAGATCACTGGAGTCCAGGAGTTCACAGTGAAACCCCGTCTCTACAATAAATTTAAAATTTAACTGGGTGTGGTGGTGTGTGTCTGTGGTTCCAGCTACAGGTGGGAGGCTGAGGTGGGAGGATTACTTGAGTCCAGGAGGTTGAGGCTGCAGTGAGCTGTGATTGTGCCACTGAGACCCTGTCTCTCAAAACAAAACAAAACAAAATTGGGTTTTTTCAACTTCTAGGGTTGCGTCCATAGGGTGGCTGGAGGGTAGGCATAATAAGGGAAGGGGATGGTATATGCTGGAGGGCTACCTTGGGGCATAATTCAGTGTAGGCCTCCTGGAATGTTGACTCTTTTTTTTTTTTTCTGAGACAGTCTCGCCTGTTGCCCAGGCTGTAGTGCAATGGTGCAATCTCAGCTCCCTGCAACCTCCACCTCCTGGGTTCAAGCAATTCTCCTGCTTCAGCCCTTGAGTAACTACAATTACAGGCGTGTGCCACCACATCAGGCTAATTTTTGCATGTTTCGTAGAGATGGGGTTTCACCATTTTGGCCAGGTTGGTCTTGAACTTCTGACCTTGTGATCCACCTGCCTTGGTCTCCCAAAGTGCTGGAATTACAGGCATGAGCCACCGTGCCCCGCTGGAATATTGACTTCTATACAGGCGGGAAGATGGGGAACATTACACAACTAAAAGATTTTTTATTTGAGGTGGAGAATGGGGCCCCAACAAGATGAGGATGGAGGCCATTGGAGGTATTATGAGACTTGAGGATATAAAATGGGAAAGTGCCTGAAAAATATGGGACATCAAGGATAAGCAGGATTTGGTGTTCAAGAATGGGAGAAACAATGCTGGCATATTGTGGAGTCTCTTAAGAAGGAAGGACATGAACATATTATAGGATTTCAGTATTAGGAACACTGGATGGATGAACATTGCTTTCCAATAAAAATCCCCTAGTAAGTAGGGAACAGATAGGAGATCATGTTGACTATGGTCTATATCCATAAATCCTTTAAGTATCATCTTCCAGCCTCTGGAAGGACCACGATAAATCTTACTGGGATATGTTCTCTCTTGGGACCAGGGGGATTTTATTTGCTGTAACAGGAAATTGGGAAATAGTGCTCAGCAATTCTCCCTTGGCACCATTCTGGCTGTCGTGTATCATAGTTTGCTTGGTTGCTTATGCTTTTTGAAGCGAGGCCCCTGGTCTTCCTTGTCTCTCCATGGTGCGCAGCTCTGCCTTGCTAGGTACTCTGTCAACATAGGTTGAATGAACATGAGCAGTGGTGAGTAGGGGGAGGGCAGGCCTCTACTCTCGGTGTGTATAGAGCAGGATCCTGAGTTCACATCATGATGCCATGTCCATTCGCCGGAGTGGCCTGCGGGTGTTGGTGAAAGGTCCCTGACCTGGGGGTGTGGTGAGGGAGAGGATTGCTAGAATGTTGAGAGATAGTCTTTGGATGGGAGTTGGTAATTATTATGGGATGTTGTAGGGTGAATTAGACTTCATGTAAATGTTTCATCTGTCAGCTTGGTATTTTGGTTGGTTGGTGTTCCTCAAAACTTAGGAGCTGGAGGTAAGCATCTGGAAAATACTTGGATTTTGGTGGGACTAGGTGGGGCCCTAGGTGGGCTTCTAGCCCCCAAGTGTCTGGAAATGATGGTATGAGGGAAGCTGGGGTCCCAGACATGAGGAGGCTTTTTGCCAGGATACTGCTTTGGCCCAGAAAGGGATTAAGGTGTGTGCAAGTGGGGGCGGGGACAGGGAAGCGTGGGTAGCCTGCCTGGCCCTCCCTGCTTTGGGTGTTAGAATAGACTGACAGCGCCTGGAGATGGGGGTGGGAAGAATATGAATATTATGGGATGCCTGGCTCAAAGGGTATAGGGGTGGTGGAGTGGAGATGAAGCATTATGGGATGTGACACTGGGTTGTGTTGGGAGTATTACGGTATGTTTGGTTGACCACGGGCTCCTTGCAATTATTATGGGATGTCAGGATGTGGGTAGGAGAGTAAAATTATTATGGGATAGCTTTCCAGTGTCAGAGGAAAAGAGATTAGATGTCCATCTGTGGGGCGACAGTAGGGCTGTTGATCATTATGGGTTATCTTTTTGATAGAGGAGGGGTACTTATTATAGGCTGTGGAGCTAGAAGAAGGAAGGCTGGGGGTGACGTGAGCCTCTAGACCCTAGCCTGCAGGGACTGAGGGCAGCCCTAGGGGGTTAGTTATTACGGGATGTCAGTATAGAAAGTGGGAGACTGATTATTATGGGATGTGTGTGGGAGGAGGCCGAGTGTCCGTTGTTGTAGTATGGGGGGGGTGAGTTTCAGGCTATTATGGGATGTCAAACTGGGGGTGGATGAAGGATGGTTATTATGGGATGTCTGTGGGGGATGGGGCTGAGTATTATGGGATATGAGGCATAAGTGCTGGGAGGGGTGCTTATTATGGGATGGCCATGGGGAGGGAGGGGTGAATTATTATGGGATGTTAGCATTAGGGCCAAGAGTGAAGAAGTTGGCAAAGGATGGCTATTATGGGATGTCTAAGAGGGTTAGTTGCAAAAGGTCTGCAATATTATGAGATGTCAGCAGCCCCTGGCATATGTGTATGAAATGTGGGGGGGGCAGGGTGTGTGTGTGTGTTGTGTGTTTGTGTGTGTGTGTGTGTTGGGGGGTGTCCGTGTGTATTATGGGATGGCCAGGAGGTGGGCGGTTGCCCAGGTGACACGCGCGCGCGCGCTCGAAGGGGGCGTGGCCAGTGGTTGCCTGAGCGACGAGGGGGCGGGGGTTGCCCGGGAGACCTGGGGAGGAGGGTGGCGGTAGTGGAAGGGGGGGTTGGAGTTGGTTGAGGTTATTATGGGCTGTCCGTGGGGGGGCGGGGCCTGTGCGGTGGGATTTCCCGGCCGGTGTTTCAGGCCCTTTAAGAGGCGACGCCGGAGCCGGAGCCATTTTCCCCCCTTCGGCCGCGGCGAGGAGGAGCCGGAGCGGGAGTGACACTGAGCCGGACCCAGCGCGACCTGCGGCGGCTCCGGGGTGAGGATAGCGCGGGGTTCCCAAAGAGACGCCCCTCACGGCCCGACCAGCCCCGAGGGTCATCCCGTCACCCGCCCCTTCCTCAGGCGTCTCCGGACCCGCGGACCGCCCCTTGCCCAGAGGAGCCGACCCTTCCTTTCCTGGCCTGCAGGGCGCCCGGCCTCCTCCCTAGCACCCGCCCTAACCCTGCCGGAGTCTTGCTCCCCGCGACCCCCGCCTCCGGCTTGGTCTCCCACAATGCCCGGCGCCCACCCTCTCGCCCTTTGATCACTTGCCCCCCGGGACACGTGGCCCGGCCCCCTTCCCGGTGGGACGCTTTAGCCCCCCGCGTCCCTGCCTCCGGCCCCCCGCAGCGCCCAAGCCTCCACGCCCCCTCGTCCCCGCAGCTCTTGAGGAGAACCTGAGTTGTCCCAGAGGACATCCTTTGGAGAGCTGCCCTGTCTGGGGACTGGCCCCTCCCCGGGCGCAGGGAGGCGCCCCCCCACCCCCAAGTGACCTTGTGTCCCCGAGCGCTTCGCCGCCTGCCGCCTCCCCTGGCCCCCCCGTGCCACTGCCACTCGGACCCCCTCCCCCGTCACACCCCGCTCGGTCCAGCCCGGCGTCTCCCCTCCCCGCGCTTGCACCAGCCTGCCCTCGGAGGCGTCGCTCCTTCGCTCCGTGGGGGCGCCTGCCGGGGAGCCGGCTTCCGGGCTGCCCCCAAGGAGTGTGGAACTAAGTTCAGCCTGAGCGGCTCGGGTGCCCTGCTAGGGTGGCTGGGGTGGGGGGCGGAAAGAGCGGGTGGGTGTGGGGGAGGGGGACAGTGCGCGTCACTGACTGTTCTCTGTTTCTCCCCCCTCCCCCGCACAGTGACTCGGGCCAGTGTAGAGGGCCCCAGGCCGCCGGCAGGAGCAGCTGGGCCAATTCCCTGGCCGGGAGCGGAAGGGGATGGCGTCGGGCCTGGGCTCCCCGTCCCCTTGCTCAGCGGGCAGTGAGGAGGAGGATATGGATGCACTTTTGAACAACAGCCTGCCCCCACCCCACCCAGGTAACATCTTCCCCAAGGGCCCAGGGCGGGAAGGAGGCGTCTGGGGCTCTCCCGAGTGACTGCTCTGGTGAGGCAGGACTGTTGCTCGGCTGTCTCTGTGCAGAGCCGGAGGTGGAGGGCATCCGAAGGGAGTGGTTCCCTTCTGCGGAGCTCTGGTGTGAGGGGGGTGGAAGCCATGTGCCTCCTGGGCACCGCGGACGGAGATGCCAGCTTGCTGCACTCTATCTTGAGGAATGCTCTGCAGTTCCCAGTTGAGGGAGCTCTCTGGGCTGGCAGGCATTACCTTGTGTGTGGGTCCTCGGAGGAATGCAGGTAGCTGGGACCCCTGGAGGCTTGTGGTGGTGGCAGAGGGGGGCATTGAGGATTCTATTTGAAAGACCAGCCCGGCATCTGTGCTAGTAGGATCCTGTGGTTGCCGCTGTGGAAAGGAAAGAGGGAGTGCTGGTTACACTCTATCTGATTATTTTTAGCTTCTGATCAGTTACCGGTTTTCTGTGCTGTCTCAGCTGTGTGAAGTTTGAATCGCGCTCCTCAGCAGGATCTGGAGTGCTTTTAGCCAGGGAGATTGCTGGAATGTTTTGAGTGGGGAAGTGATGGGGGCTCGGGAAGGATGTAATGAAGAGGGGCAAAAGAAGGGAGGGCATCTCTCTTCTCTTGGTGAGTGGACATAATTTTGGCTTTTTTCCTACTGGCTTCTGCCTCTATGAGGTAGCCTGGGGTTTAGGCTAGCAGTGTGAAGCGTCTGTGTAGGTGTGCTAGGGGTTGCTCTATCTGTGTTTTGGGGTGGCTCCATGAGCTGGCCAAACCCGTATGGTTATAACTACATTGCCTGATTGGGGGAGCCCTTGTCTATCCTCAGATGATGGTTGATGTCATGTTCCTAAGCAGATGTCTTTCTCTTCTGTGTCCTTTTTCAGAGCCCCTAGCTAAGTCATCTACTTGTTTCCTTGACCTTCATGTTTTCTAGTTTGATTTTTTTTTCCTATGTGTCATTTCTTCATTCCTTCTGCTTCTACTTTTCTTCTCATTCTGGAGCTTGCTGATCCTGTTTTTGTTTCTCATCCAGCATCATTCACTTCTGTCTTCTCTCTTCTTAGCTTCAGTGGAAGTTGAGGTGGTCTGGGAGAGATGCTTTCACATTTGGTACTTTTTAAGTTGGAAGTCTTGACTTCGACCTGAGGCCATTTAGGAGAGGGGTTAGTGTTGTCATGGAGTCTTGGTTGTTGGGATGAGAAACTTGGTTTCATCCTTGTGTAGGGTAGAGGGGCAGATTTCCTTGCCCTTGCCCAAGGTGAGGGCAGGGTGGTGGTGCTGGTAAGGGGACCCTGTCCTTCTGAGAGGGGCATGAGAAACAGTAGTGCTGCCTAGACATTGTGGGTTCCACATCTTGGCCTCCCATTGGCTCCTTGGGCTGGGGCTGCCTTTCATGTTGACTGGGAGCTGCGCAGGAGCTGTGAACTCTGTCCTGAGCTGTAGCATGACCCACTTTTTCCACTTGCCACACCCCATTCCTGTCCCTTTCCCAAATCTTCCTCTATATCTCAGTCAGTTTGCTGTTTGCCATTTCAGCATATTATTTGCCTGAGAAGTTTGGGGGTTCCATGTGCATGGAAGGATGTCCCCTTTGCCTCTATGGGTTATCTTTATCTCCACTTCCAGCTTTTATGGGGGTGGTGAGATGTAGCTAGCTGATGGGGATTGGGGGTTGACTTGGGGATTGTTGGGGAAAAGCCCTGAAGAAAATGATTCTGGTGAAATCCGGGCTGGTGTTCCATTCCCAAGGGGGAATGGGAGGGGCTTTCTTGTGCCTGGTCTTATTCTGGGCTGAGAAGCAGGGAGGCTGATGGTGCTTTGTCCAGCCTAATGTCTCATTTCCTAGTGTCTGTCTAGCTCAGGAAGTGGGGAGCCAGAGACATTTTAGGGCTAATTTTGGGGGTTAAGAGCTAAGAGCATGTCAGAGATTGAAGGAGGGATATCATTTTCTTTTTTATTTTTGAGACGGGGTCTCACTCTGTCACCCAGGTTGGAGTGCAGTGGCACTATCTTGGCTCACTGCAACCTCCGCCTCCCTGGCTCATGCGATTCTCCTGCTTCAGCCTCCTGAGTAGCTGGGATTACAGGCACCCACCACCATGCCCGACTAATTTTTGTGTTTTTAGTAGAAATGGGGTTTCACCACGTTGGCCAAGCTAGTTTCGAACTCCTGATCTCAAATGATCTGCCCGCCTCAGCCTCCCAAAGTGCTGGGATTACAGGCAGGAGCCACTGCACCCGGCCGGGATGTTATCTTCTACCACTGTCTGGGTCCTGCTCCTTTTTTTGTGCAGACATTCCCATATATGTTGGATAGGACTCTGGGTGGAGGTGGTGAGGAAGCTGAGCTTCAGAGGCTTCTTATGGGCCTCCATTCCTCAAACTAAATCTTTTGGGTGTCAGAAATTTGGGGAGAAGGTTGTATGTGCTGACCACAGGTCCACTGAGCCTTTGTTAAATCTCAGCTCTGATGACTGAAAAAATAATTGTGATCGAGGGAGTAATCGAGTTCTTCCCTTAGTATTACCTTCATGTTTGTCTTGTTCTCCTTGGGTTTCCTTGCTTAGGACATTAGGGTGGCCTCTTGTGAACCGTGTCATCCCAGAGTAGGTGGCATTTGGACTTGGGGCCAGGTAATAATTTGGGGAGGCTTCTATGAGGGCAGTCTCCCCCCCGCCCCACCTCTGTCAACCCCGCCCCCTCCCCTGCCACTTCCTGTCTGTCCTATGTTGGCAGCTGGGTGCCCTGGACTGGCTTCTGCGGTCAGGAGCCATTTTCCCTCTCCTCAGTGGGTGAGGCACTCCCTTCTTCTCTCCACTCCTTTCTCTACCCACCCCCCCAACTTGGGCGGGGGTGGCTTGGAAAGAGGGAGAGAGAGGAGGGAGGAGGGAGTCTGGTGTGAATGTCTGTTACAAAGGAAGCTGCCTCCTGGCCTTCTGTGTGCCCCTTCCCACCTATCCTTGTCCAGGAGCTTTCAGTATTACCCCAGGCTTTGTGTGTGCTTCCAGCCAGGGGAGGAGGTGGAGCCAGATGGGAGGAGGATTGCTGGGGGGCGGGTGCAGGGGGAGATGGTGACAGCTGGGCTGATTTGGGCCCCTAGGGAGAAGAGGCTGCTGACCCAGGAGAAGCTGAGGAGGAACATTAGGGTTGGAGATGGGGAAAGGAAATTGTATTTTAGGAGTGGGCATGAGATTGGTCTGGCACCTGAACCTAGGACTTAGAGGTTCTGGTTAATTTGAGCAGTGATGATTTCAAAGTGGTTAGAGAAGGATGTGGTTTCCGAGACCCCTGAACTGATCCTGTTCTGGGAAGGTATATTGTATAGTTTTTGCTTTCTGAGTAGGATCTTTCCTTCTCATTCCCTGGTTTATACAATACTTGGTGGCCAGTTATAGGAGGCCTAAATCTAGTTCTCTTACATGGTGAACTCTAAGCAGCTCAGTTCAGCTGTACTGGTGAACATCTAGAGGATTGCTGGTAGGAATGGGAGAGAGGAGGCAGGGGTCTGGACAGCTGCCCGAGGTGGGCCTGGTCTGGCCTGGCAGGCCTATTTTGGGTATATACAGCTCTCTCTTTGTCTGTTTTTGTCCTGGGTATCAGCTTCCTTCTGTACAGAGTATAGCAGTTCTCTTCAGAGGAATCTGGGACAAGAGGTGGGGAATAAAGTCTAAAGCCTCTGGATTAGGGCCTAACCTTTTGCTATTGATCTTTTTGCCTGCCTACCACTCTTTGCCAAATACATGTAGAAAATGAAGAGGACCCAGAAGAGGATTTGTCAGAAACAGAGACTCCAAAGCTCAAGAAGAAGAAAAAGCCTAAGAAACCTCGGGACCCTAAAATCCCTAAGAGCAAGCGCCAAAAAAAGGAGGTGAGTGGGTGACTGAATGTTCCGGGGAACCAGAAGCAGAAGGGAGGAGCTCTGAGAAGGGCTGAAGGGCTGAGGGCACCTTTCTTAGGAGTGGTGGGCCAGGTTCTGGGGGTGAGCCTCAGGGCTGTCCTGAGGTCAGCATGTGTGTAGCATGTGTGTGTCTGTCTCCCTCTCCCCCCTTTCCCTGCTCCAGCGTATGCTCTTATGCCGGCAGCTGGGGGACAGCTCTGGGGAGGGGCCAGAGTTTGTGGAGGAGGAGGAAGAGGTGGCTCTGCGCTCAGACAGTGAGGGCAGCGACTATACCCCTGGTAAGAAGAAGAAGAAGAAGCTCGGACCTAAGAAAGAGAAGAAGAGCAAATCCAAGCGGAAGGAGGAGGAGGAGGAGGATGACGATGATGATGATTCAAAGGTGCCTGGACCTGCATCCTCTTCTTTGTACTATTAAACTTTTGTCCTTTTGTTTCTTAGACATCCTACTGCCCTTTAGAACACTTTCTTTTCTTCTCCTTTTAACTCTGTTACTCTGGTTTTTCAGTACAAATTTGCTTAGCAAGTGTGGGCACTGGGTGGCAGGTGCTTGACTTTGCTCTTTCTGCAGGAGCCTAAATCATCTGCTCAGCTCCTGGAAGACTGGGGCATGGAAGACATTGACCACGTGTTCTCAGAGGAGGATTATCGAACCCTCACCAACTACAAGGCCTTCAGCCAGTTTGTCAGGTAAAACAGAAGGGGCTTGCGGAAGGGGGAGGAGAGTCTTTCTATTATCTCTTTTTACTTCTCTTTCTTTCTTTTATTCTTAAACATTTTCCTCTGCTCTTGTCCATTTCTCCACCAGACCCCTCATTGCTGCAAAAAATCCCAAGATTGCTGTCTCCAAGATGATGATGGTTTTGGGTGCAAAATGGCGGGAGTTCAGTACCAACAATCCCTTCAAAGGCAGTTCTGGGGCATCAGTGGCAGCTGCGGCAGCAGCAGCGGTGGCTGTGGTGGAGAGCATGGTGACAGCCACTGAGGTTGCACCACCACCTCCCCCTGTGGAGGTGCCTATCCGCAAGGCCAAGACCAAGGAGGGCAAAGGTGAAATGGGGTTCAAATGGGAGTGGGGGTGTCTAGTGTGGGCTTAAGATGTCAAAGACAGGGCATAGGAATGCTGTTCTGTCAGCCCTAAGGTAGGAGATAGGAGGGAGGAGTGAGTCTTGAATTTTGGAGGGAAGTTTGGGCATCTGAATGTGGGGAAGCAAGCTTAGGTGGAGAAGATCTTTTCCCCATCTTTGGTGGTGTGGTATTTTATATATTTGGATGTATCCTGATTTTAGGTCCCAATGCTCGGAGGAAGCCCAAGGGCAGCCCTCGTGTACCCGATGCCAAGAAGCCTAAACCCAAGAAAGTAGCTCCCCTGAAAATCAAGCTGGGAGGTTTTGGTTCCAAGCGTAAGAGATCCTCGGTGAGAGCCCAGCCCATCACTTTAGGGAGGGTGCCATGTATACTAGAAAGGATGGGACCTTATATCAGGACCTGTGCTTCATAGTAGGCACATAAGAATGTGGGGAGTTGCCCACAGAACAGGATGAGACTCGGCTCCCTGTATAACAGTGCTTGCTGGGATTCTGGTATCCTCCGTGAGAGAGCACTCCCTTGTCTGCCACTGTTTCCTTCCCCTTGGTTTGAATGTCTAACCTTATTCTTTTTCATCCTGTCAGAGTGAGGATGATGACTTAGATGTGGAATCTGACTTCGATGATGCCAGTATCAATAGCTATTCTGTTTCTGATGGTTCCACCAGCCGTAGTAGCCGCAGCCGCAAGAAGCTCCGAACCACTAAAAAGAAAAAGAAAGGTGTGTTTCTCTTCTGTATATTTGTGATGGGATGAGGTGGGAGTGATTGGGGAAGAATCTCCCTAAAGAGATAGGGGTTGGGGGTGGGGGGAGGTAGTTTTTTTCTAATAACTGGGCTTTCCCTCTTCCTTGCCCAGGCGAGGAGGAGGTGACTGCTGTGGATGGTTATGAGACAGACCACCAGGACTATTGCGAGGTGTGCCAGCAAGGCGGTGAGATCATCCTGTGTGATACCTGTCCCCGAGCTTACCACATGGTTTGCCTGGATCCCGACATGGAGAAGGCTCCCGAGGGCAAGTGGAGCTGCCCACACTGCGTGAGTGTCTGGCCATTGTGGCCCGTTGGAACTCATGAGAAGAAGGGTGGGACAGTAAAGCTCTTTGGGGCCTGGATGGAAATCGAAATGCTGGTGCTGTGGGTTGTGAGCTTTGGGAAGCATTCAAAGGAATGATGGGTACTGGCTTCAGACTTCGGTGGGTGGGTGGGGGTAATAATCTGAATCTGTGGTCATTTACTGCAGGAGAAGGAAGGCATCCAGTGGGAAGCTAAAGAGGACAATTCGGAGGGTGAGGAGATCCTGGAAGAGGTTGGGGGAGACCTCGAAGAGGAGGATGACCACCATATGGAATTCTGTCGGGTCTGCAAGGATGGTGGGGAGCTGCTCTGCTGTGATACCTGTCCTTCTTCCTACCATATCCACTGCCTGAATCCCCCACTTCCAGAGATCCCCAATGGTGAATGGCTCTGTCCCCGTTGTACGGTGAGTGACTGATCTCAGCCAGGGCAAAAGATGTGGAAAGTGTAGTCTTTTCTATGTAGGGTATTGTGAAGCTGGGGTGCGGGAGAGGAACTATGAGCTTTTCAACCCTGAGAAAGGTATTTTCCTTTATCCTATAGTGTTGGGATACTTTTGTCCTGGGAAAATGTAGGACTAACTTCAAACAGAGGAGTTGATGTTTTGCCAACTCTCTGAAGAGGAGATGAAGCAATGTTCTTCTAGCTGAGAACATTTGTCTCTGTGTTGACACCCTGCCTCAGGGTCTTGGTAGCTTACAATGTTTTTAATTTTTTTGTTAAAAAACTTTTTTTTTGGAGACAGGGTCTCACTCTGTCATCCAGGCTAGAGTGCAGTGGTGCAGTCATAGCTCATTGCAACCTCCAACTCTTGAGCTCAAGTGATCCTCCTATCTCAGCCTCTTGCTGAGTAGCTAGGAGTACTGGTGCATGCCACCACATTCAGCTAATTAAAAAAAAAAATCTTTGTAGAGACAGGGTGTCACTATGTTGCCTAGGCTGGTCTTGAACTCCTGCTCTGAAACTATTCTGCTCCCTTGTCCTCCCTAAGTGCTGGCATTACAGGTGTGTACCACCATGCCAGCCAGTTTAGAATGTTTAATAGGGCCACTTACTGCTTTTAGATTGCTTAAGGGAGGAATTCTGTGCTTTAACTCTGTTGATTTCCTGATTCTTCTGGCTGCTTGTTGAAGTCTTAACTGCTGGCTTTGTTAAGCAGATAGGAGTGATGGTGGCACGGAAATCCTGGATGATGTCCAGAAATGGAGAGAGAATTGTATCACAGGTTGAGCACCCTAATCCAGAAGTGGGAAATCCAAAATACTTCTGGTCCCAAGCATTTCACATGAGGGGTCCTCAACCTGTATTCTCTCCCTGGAGGAGTCCTGGGATTAGATTTTATTTGAAATGAGATCTTTTTTTTTTTTTGAGACGGAGTGTCTCTCTGTCCTGTCCCCTAGGCTGGAGTGCAGTGGGGCAATCTTGGCTCACTACAACCTCTGCCTCCCAGGTTCAAGTGATTCTCCTGCCTTAGCCCTCTGAGTAGCTGGAACTACAGGCGCGTGCCACAATGCCCAGCTAATTTTTGTATTTTTAGTAGAGACGGGGTTTCACCATGTTAGCCAGGATGGTCTCGATCTCTTGACCTCGTGATCTGCCCGCCTTGGCCTCCCGAAGTGCTGCGATTACAGGCATGAGCCACCGCTCCAGGCCTGAAATGAGATCTTAATTGCCCTTTGATAAAGTTGAGACTGTGGGCTGTCCCTTCTCCCATGGTTATGATTTGAGATTAAGTTGTCTCTTTTTCCCTCAGTGTCCAGCTCTGAAGGGCAAAGTGCAGAAGATCCTAATCTGGAAGTGGGGTCAGCCACCATCTCCCACACCAGTGCCTCGGCCTCCAGATGCTGATCCCAACACGCCCTCCCCAAAGCCCTTGGAGGGGCGGCCAGAGCGGCAGTTCTTTGTGAAATGGCAAGGCATGTCTTACTGGCATTGCTCCTGGGTTTCTGAACTGCAGGTAAGTTGAGGATAGGCTGGAGATGTAGGGGCTACGATGAATAGGATAGTGATAAAAGAGCCTTGTGGATAGAAGGAATGAACACAGCTTCTTGGTGGCTGATTTTCTCTTTCCCCTCCAAGCTGGAGCTGCACTGTCAGGTGATGTTCCGAAACTATCAGCGGAAGAATGATATGGATGAGCCACCTTCTGGGGACTTTGGTGGTGATGAAGAAAAAAGCCGAAAACGAAAAAACAAGGACCCTAAATTTGCAGAGATGGAGGAACGCTTCTATCGCTATGGGATAAAACCTGAGTGGATGATGATCCACCGAATCCTCAACCACAGGTACCAGCTGGGCACATGGGAGATAGGCAGTCTCCATGGGAGATTCCCGCTGAAGGGATTGGGAAAATGGATGTCACCGGCAACTTAGATTTGGAAAACACCGGTTTTTTTTTTTGAGATAGAGTCTCAGTCGCCCAGGCTGGAGTACAGTGATCTCGGCTCAGTGCAACCTCTGCCTCCCAGGTTCAAGTGATTCTCCTGCCTCAGCCTCCTGAGAAGCTGGGACTACAGGCGCGAGCCACCACGCCCAGCTAATTTTTTGTATTTTTAGTAGAGACGGGGTTTCACCATGTTGGCCAGGATGGTCTGGATCTCTTGACCTCAGGTGAAAGTGCTGGGATTACAGGCGTGAGCCACCATACTTGGTTGTTTGTTTTTTTGAGATGGAGTCTTGCTCTGTTACCCAGGCGGGAGTGTAGTGGTGCAACCTTGGCTTGCTGCAACCTTGGTCTCCTAGGCTCACGTGAATCTCCTGCTTCAGCCTCTCTAGTAGCTAGGCATAGGCACCTGCCACCATACCCAGCTAATTTTTGTATTCTTAGTAGAGACAGGGTTTCACTATGTTGGCCAGGCTGGTCTTGAACTCCTAACCTCAGGTGATCTGCCTGCCTTGGCCTCCCTAAGTTCTAGGATTAGCACGCATGAGCCACCACGCTTTATATTGAGACAAAGTCTAGCTCTGTTGCCCAGGTTTGAGTGCAGTGTCGTGATCACTGCTCACAGCAGTCCCAAACTCCTGGGCTCAAGCAATCTACCTGCCTTAGTTTCCCAAAACGTTGGGATTACAGGCGGGAGCTACTGCGCCTGACACTTTGTTATTTATTTATTTATTTATTTTATTATTGTGGTTTTTTTTGAGACGGACATGTTGCCCAGGTTGGAGTGCAGTGGCGGGATCTCAGCTCACTGCAAGCTCCGCCTCCCACGTTCATGCCATTCTCCTGCCTCAGCCTCCCAAGTAGCTGGGACTACAGGCGATCGCCACCACGCCCGGCTAATTTTTGTTTTTTATTTTTTTATTTTTAGTAGAGACGGGGTTTCACTGTGTTAGCCAGGATGGTCTCAATTTCCTGACCTCGTGATCTGCCCGCCTCATCCTCCCAAAGTGCTGGGATTACAGGCATGAGGCACCGCGCGCAGCCTATTTATTTATTTTTTGAGACAGAGTCTCGCTCTGTGGCCCAGCCTGGAGTGCAGTGACATGATCTAAGCTCACTGCAACCTCCGCCTCTCACGCTCAAGCAGTTCTTCTGCCTCAGCCTCCTGAGTAGCTGGGATTACAGGCATGCACCACCATGCCTTGCTAATTTTTGTATTTTTAGTAGAGACGGGGTTTTACCATATTGGCCAGGCTGATCTTGAACTCCTGACCTTGTGATCCACCTGCCTCAGCCTCCCAAAGTGCTGGGATTACAGGCATGAGCCACCGCACCTGGCTTGACGCCTGGCTAATTTTTTTTAGTAGAGACGGGGTTTCGCCATGTTGGCCCGACTGGTCTTGATCTCCTGGCCTCAAGTGATCTGCCTGCCTCGGCTTTCCAAAGTGCTGGGATTACAGGTGTGAGCCACTGCATCCGGCCAACACTCTATGTTAATTATTAACTGACTGAATTCTGGTGTTTGAGTGTAACTAGGAAAGTATAAATTAGAGATAATTTTTGGTCAAAGACTAGTATAGTAGAGGCTCTGAAAACGTGTCATCTGTGGCATATCTAGAGGTCTGGTGTGGAACATACGGTATTGCCAGTTTTTGAGAGCAAGTGAGGAGGGTTGCTTTTTCTGGCTCTGAGGGTTTTTTCTCCTTGACTTGCAGCGTCGACAAGAAGGGCCACGTCCACTACTTGATCAAGTGGCGGGACTTACCTTACGATCAGGCTTCTTGGGAGAGTGAGGATGTGGAGATCCAGGATTACGACCTGTTCAAGCAGAGCTATTGGAATCACAGGTGAGTGATTTTGGGTGAGGAATAGAGTTATTTCTTTTTGTTTTTTTTGTTTTTTTTTAATATGGAGCCTCGCTTTGTCACCAGGCTATAGTGCAGTGGCATGGTCTTGTCTGACTGCAACCTTTGACTCCCTGGTTCAAACGATTCTTCTTCCTTAGCCTCCCGAGTAGCTGGGATTATATGCATACGCCACCACACCCAACTAATTTTTTTTTTTTTTTTTGAGACAAAGTCTTGCTCTTGTTACCCAGGCTGGAGTGCAATGGTGCGATCTCGGTTCACTGCAACCTCCGCCTCCCGGGTTCAGGCAATTCTCCTGCCTCATAGCTGAGATTACAGGCATCTGCCACCACACCTGGCTAATTTTTGTATTTTTAGTAGGCACGGGGTTTCACCATGTTGGCCAGGCTGGTCTCAATCTCCTGACCTTAGGTGACCTGCCTGCCTCAGCCTCCCAAAGTGTTGGGATTACAGGTGTGAGCCTCTGTGCCTGGGCAAGTTGTTTCTTCTATAGAAAAGGACTTTGGGCAGCTGCGTGACGTCTTTCTTCTTTAGGGAGTTAATGAGGGGTGAGGAAGGCCGACCAGGCAAGAAGCTCAAGAAGGTGAAGCTTCGAAAGTTGGAGAGACCTCCAGAAACACCAACAGTTGATGTGAGTCAGGGTGGAAGGGACTGGAGAATAGATTGTTGGGTAGGACAGTGTATCTTTGCTGCAGTCTAATGATGGTACTCTTAGGTAATGAAAAGATCACTTCAAGTCTGCTTCCCTACTTCTCCACGTCTCTATATATCAGAAAGCACTAGGATTACTTTCTTCTTTTGTCATCAGAAAAAAAAAGGAGGTGTATTTTGAATGACTGAATAAGTGTTATCTAGGGGGAGGGGTCACATAGCCTAGCTTTTATGAACTTACATTGGAATCTGGCTTAATTCAGGCTCAGTTCCTCTGGGTTTTGTTTGTACAGTGTAATTTGAGGGTGATTAAAGTTAAAAAGATGCATCTAACCGGGACATACATTATTTACCTGGTAGATCCTGACTAGTAGAATTATTGTATTGGTAGGGAGTCTGTGATGTGTTTTTCCTCAGTGATATGTAGGACCAAAATCAGATCTGTCTGGTTAAGCCCTATTTCCTGGAGGACCCTAAAGTGAACATGAAATTGCAGTAATTATAGGGGATCTCTTCCCTCAGAATTTTTGTAGCTCTTCCCCAGGAGGATCCGTGAAGACTAGAGAGGAGGAAGCAGCTGCTGTATTAGGGGAGGAAGGGAGTTCCTTGCCAGCTCTTGACTTCTCTGTTTCATCCTTCAGCCAACAGTGAAGTATGAGCGACAGCCAGAGTACCTGGATGCTACAGGTGGAACCCTGCACCCCTATCAAATGGAGGGTCTGAATTGGTTGCGTTTCTCCTGGGCTCAGGGCACTGACACCATCTTGGCTGATGAGATGGGCCTTGGGAAAACTGTACAGACAGCAGTCTTCCTCTATTCCCTTTACAAGGAGGTAAGGAAATCTGGGGCTGATAGTTTTTTTGTGTGGATATTTTGTGTTTGAAGCCTTCACTTACACTCTGAGTAGAGAGATAAAGGAATAAAAAAAGTGGTCTGTGACCTTCAAGAACACTGTGGATAATAGATAAACACATGTACACATGTGTTTAGTAGATAGTAGATAAATGTGATAGTGGATAAACATATGTACGCAGTGGAAGATTTGAGGGCATAGAGCCCTGGGTAGGATTAGCAGTGGGTCCGTAGAGTCTCAGTTCTAGGGGAATGATTATGTGTTGAGGGAAGTAGAATTACGAGTAGAATTAGTACGGAAAGACTTGGCTGGACGCGGTAGCTCACACCTGTAATCCCAGCACTGGGAGCCTGAGGCGGGCGGATCACCTGAGGTTGGGAGTTTGAGACCAGCCTGACCAACATGGTGAAACCCCGTCTCTACTAAAAATACAAAGTTAGCCGGGCGTGGTGGCGCATGCCTGTAATCCCAGCTACTTGGGAGGCTGAGGCAGGAGAATCACTTAAACCCGGGAGGCGGAGGTTGCAGTGAGCTGAGATTGCACCATTGCACTCCAGCCTGGGCAACAAGAGTGAAACTCCGTCTCAGGAAAAAAGTATAGAAAGACTTAATGGGAGAGATAAGACTTGTAGTTATGGTGGGACCTTGTCTTTTTGGAAAGGCACGGGCTGGGCATGTGTATGGAGGAAGGTGAGAGCAGGAGCGCAGGTGTCAGTCCTTGGCTCGGCTTGAGGGGAGAGCAGGGTGCTGGGTGTTCACTGGGGTGCAATGTGCTGGGGCCCTCAGTCCTGATTTTCCTCTTCTTCCTCAAAGGGTCATTCCAAAGGCCCCTTCCTAGTGAGTGCCCCTCTTTCTACCATCATCAACTGGGAGCGGGAGTTTGAAATGTGGGCTCCAGACATGTATGTTGTAACCTATGTGGGTGACAAGGACAGCCGTGCCATCATCCGAGAGAATGAGTTCTCCTTTGAAGACAATGCTATTCGTGGTGGCAAGAAGGCCTCCCGCATGAAGGTATCTCAGGGCAGGGAAGCCACCCTAGAGAAAGAGTTGCGGCTTCTGGCTTAGTTTACCTCCTTGTGATCTGGTCCTTGGTGAGGCAAAAGGGTAATCCTGGGAGGAGGAAACATTCCGTCAGTCCCTGGGTTGTGATTACATGAGAGAAGGTGACTAGTAGTGACCAAGTTGCCTTCATGTGCAGAAAGAGGCATCTGTGAAATTCCATGTGCTGCTGACATCCTATGAATTGATCACCATTGACATGGCTATCTTGGGCTCTATTGATTGGGCCTGCCTCATCGTGGATGAAGCCCATAGGCTGAAGAACAATCAGTCTAAGGTGAGGGCTGAGGGAGGGATGTTGGAGCCCTGACTTTGAGTTTTTTCTAGTACTCCCAATTTGTTAAGGGGAAGACTTGCAGGTGGAGAGGAGAGAGAAGAATTGTCTCTGCCTTCTTTCCTTGTATGTGACAGCCCTTGGTGGCCAGGCCTTTAAAAAGAATGTGAGGAGTGGGATGCTTAACTATTGGGCAGTGAAAAACTTGAAATTTGGTAGCGATTTACTAGAGCTGTGTTTTCATTGGATTTCACATTTTTCCATCTGCTTCACCAGTTCTTCCGGGTTTTGAATGGTTACTCACTCCAGCACAAGCTGTTGCTGACTGGGACTCCATTACAAAACAATCTCGAAGAGTTGTTTCATCTGCTCAACTTTCTCACCCCCGAGAGGTTCCAGTAAGTATGTGTTTATCTGTAATCGGCTCATAATTGTGCTTCTCATTCTTCTTGTTGCCCATTTCCTGTATCACTTTTCTTTCTTCCCTTCTCCTTCTCCAATAACTTTTTCCTTTTTCTTCCTGAAGCAATTTGGAAGGTTTTTTGGAGGAGTTTGCTGACATTGCCAAGGAGGACCAGATAAAAAAACTGCATGACATGCTGGGGCCGCACATGTTGCGGCGGCTGAAAGCCGATGTGTTCAAGAATATGCCCTCCAAGACAGAACTAATTGTGCGTGTGGAGCTGAGCCCTATGCAGAAGTGAGTTGGGAGAGACAGAAACAGACTCCATTTAGACATCTGCCAGTCTGCAGTCTTTCCTATTCCTCCCCCACTCAGCTTCAAGGCATCTGGTGACAGGAGCAAGCAAGGCCTAAAGAAACCTGATGCTAGGGCGCTGGAGCACATGGTTCCTACTTAAGTTATACCTTTCCGTATTTAAAATGGTGGTGGTGGTGCTTGTGCGTTAGGTGTCCTTAGTGCCAAAGTGGGATGTGTTGGAAGAAAGATCTCAGTTGTTGGGCCTGCATTATTAGTCATTGAAAGCCTCTCAAGTCTAACCTGTCTTTCTACCTTGGCCATGTAGGAAATACTACAAGTACATCCTCACTCGAAATTTTGAAGCACTCAATGCCCGAGGTGGTGGCAACCAGGTGTCTTTGCTAAATGTGGTGATGGATCTTAAGAAGTGCTGCAACCATCCATACCTCTTCCCTGTGGCTGCAATGGTATGTAGTGCCACCTCCTGTTCTTCCCTGGGTTGGGACTCCTCCATATGTGCTTTCTTTTAATATTTTTTTCTTTGCTTTTGTTCTCAGGAAGCCCCTAAGATGCCTAATGGCATGTATGATGGCAGTGCCCTAATCAGAGCATCTGGGAAATTATTGCTGCTGCAGAAAATGCTCAAGAACCTTAAGGAGGGTGGGCATCGTGTACTCATCTTTTCCCAGGTATCATGTGGACTGGGAGCTTTAGGGAACAGTCATAGACAACCCTCAGTGACCTCAGGAAAGGGATTACCATCTGACTCTTCCATAATTAAACCATGCTCCTTTTACAGATGACCAAGATGCTAGACTTGCTAGAGGATTTCTTGGAACATGAAGGTTATAAATACGAACGCATTGATGGTGGAATCACTGGGAACATGCGGCAAGAGGCCATTGACCGCTTCAATGGTGAGAGAGAAGTTGTTTAGTTTCAGGAATCCTCTGTAACTTTTTGTGCATCTGCTTTTCTGTGTAGTTCTTTTCGGGCTTTGTCATTTGAGATGGAAGAGTAAAGCTTTTGAATGTCTCAATTGGAAGAATGTATTGGACTATTCCTAGGAGATTTTTTCCTTTGGGGTCTTTGTTCTTTCTGCTAGAAAGAAGAAAGCATTGTATCTTGAGGGCAAGCAAGGGGTCAGGACTTGTTCAAGCTCAAATAGCAAGTTACTAGCAGACTTATCTGCCTCAGTAGACACTACTAGGGTTTGGTTTTGTTTTTTGTTTTTTGTTTTTTGTTTTTTTTTGAGATGGAGTCTTGCTCTGTTGCCCAGGCTGGAGTGCAGTGGTGCAATCTTGGCTCACTGCAACCTCCGCCTCCTGGGTTCAAGTGATTCTCCTGCCTCAGCCTCCCAAGTAGCTGGGACTATAGGTGCGTGCTACCACGCCCACCTAATTTTTGTACTTTTAGTAGAGATGGGGTTTCACCATGTTGGCCAAAATGGTCTTGATCTCCTGACCTCATGATCTGCCCGCCTTGGCCTCCCAAAGTGCTGGGATTACAGGCACAAGCCACCATGCCCAGCCTGTTTTGTTTTGTTTATTTGAGATGGGGTCTCACTCTGTTGCGGAGGCTGGAGAGCAGTGACATGATCATGGCTTACTACAACCTGGACCCACGTCCAGGCTTAAATGATCCTGCTGCTTCAGCCTCCCAACTAGCTGGGGCTGTAGGCTTGAGCCACTGTACCTAGCTAATTAAAAAAATTTTTTTGTAGAGATGGGGTCTTGCCATGTTGTCCAGGCTGATCACAAACTTCTGGACTCAAGCAGTCCTCCTGCCTTGGCCTCCCAAAGTATTGAGATGATAGGCATAAGCCACTGTACTCAGTGTCACTACTACTTGTTTTTAAAAAACTTTTTATTTTAATTTTACACTTAGAAAAAAGTTACAGAATAGCACAGAGAGTTCATGTATACTGTTCAACTAGCTAGCTTCTCTTAATAATAACTTACATAACTGCAGTACAATGATCAAAACTAGGAAATTATCATTGGTATTATACTATAAATGACAGACCTTCAATGAATGTCACCAATTTTTCCTGATGTCTATTTTCTGTTTCAGGATCCAATCCCAGGTCCCATGTTCCATTTAGTTATTGTGCTTCCTGCTATCTATGACATTTATTTTTTTCCTTTTCTTACATGATACAGATTTTTTTTTGAGATGGAATCTCACTCTGTTGCCCAGACTGGAGTGCAGTGGCACGATCTTGACTCATTGCAACCTGTGCGTCCTGGGTTCAAGCGATTCTCCTGTCTCAGCCTCCTGAGTAGCTGAGATTACCGGCGTGCGCCACCACGCCCAGCAGATTTTTGTATTTTTAGTAGAGACGGTTTCACCATGTTGGCCAGGCTGGTCTCGAACTCCTGACCTCAGGTAATCCGCCTGCCTCGGCCTCCCAAAGTGCTGGGATTACAGGTGTGAGCCACTGTGCCCGGTCAATACAGATACTTTTGATGAACACTGGTCAGTTATTTTGTAGCATGGCTCTAAGTTTGGGTTTGTGTGATGTTTTCTCTTGATTAAATTAGACATTTTGTGCAAGAATGCCACAGAGGTGATGTTGTATCCTTTTCTTTTCTTTTTTTTTTTTTGAGAAGGTCTTGCTCTGTTACCAGGCTGGAGTCTGGAGTGCAGTGGTGTGATCTTGGCTCACTGCAACCTCCACCCAGGTTCAAGCCATTCTCCTGTCTCAGCCTCCCGAGTAGCTGGGATTACAGGTGCCCGCCACCATGCCGGGCTGATTTTTGTACTGTTAGTAGAGACGGGGTTTCACCATGTTGGTCAAGATGGTTTCGATCTCCTGACCTTGTGAGCCACTGCACCCGGCCGATGATGTTTCCTTTTCAATGCATCATACTGGGACACGGATATGATGTGTTATGTCCCCTTACTGCTAATGACTTGATCACTGGTTAAGGTGGTGTCTGTTGAGTTTCTGCAGTGTAAAGTTTCTCTTGTTCCCAATTGTGATTGATAAATAGCTTGAGGGAGATATTTGAGACTATGTCAGTGTCCTGTTTCTCCTTAAACTTTCACACTGATTTTAGTATCCATCAGTGGACTTTGCTTACAATGATTATTACTGTGGTGTTTGCCTAATGAGGTTTTATATTCTGACATTCTTTCTTTTTTACCTTCGCCTCCTGGGTTCAAGTGATTCTCTTGCCTCAGCCTCCCAAGTAGCTGGGATTACAGGAGACTGCCACCATGCCTGGCTAATTTTGTATTTTTAGTAGGCAGGATTTCACCATGTTGGCCAGCTTAATCTCGAACTCCTGACCTCAGGTGATCTGCCCACCTCAGCCTCCCAAAGTGTTGGGGTTATAGGCGTGAGCCACTGCACCTGGCCTATTCTGACGTTTTTCTTTAAGAGATGGGGTCTTGGCCGGGCGCGGTGGCTCAACCCTGTAATCCTAGCACTTTGGGAGGCCGAGACGGGCGGATCATGAGGTCAGGAGATCGAGACCATCCTGGCTAACATGGTGAAACACCGTCTCTACTAAAAATACAAAAAACTAGCCGGGCGAGGTGGCGGGCGCCTGTAGTGCCAGCTACGTGGGAGGCTGAGGCAGGAGGATGGCGTGAACCTGGGAGGCAGAGCTTGCAGTGAGCTGAGATCCGGCCACTGCACTCTAGCCTGGGTGACAAAGCGAGACTCCGTCTCAAAAAAAAAAAGAGATGGGGTCTTGCTCTGTTGCCCAGGCTGGAGTGCAGTGGCACAGTCAAAGCTCACTATAACCTTGAACTCTTGGGCTCAAGTGATTCTCCTGCCTCAACTTCCTGAGTAGCTGGGACTACAGGTGTGCACCACCATGCCCAGCTAATTTTTTTTTTTTTTTTTGAGATGGAGTCTCTCGCTCTGTTGCCCAGGCTGAAGTGCAGTGGTGCAATCTCTGCTCACTGCAAACTCTGCCTACCAGGTTCAAGCGATTCTCCTGCCTCAGCCTCCCGAGTAGCTGGGACTACAGGTGTACACCACCATGCCTGGCTAATTTTTGTATTTTTAGTAGAGGCAGGGTTTCACCATGTTGGCCAGGCTGGTCTTGAACTCCAATGATCCACCTGTGTCTGCCTCCCAAAGTGCTAAGATTACAGGCGTGAGCCACCGCCCCGGCTTAGTTTTTTAAACTACATTTGTGAATTGGAATTTAGGAGACACTTCTAATGGTGTTTTTGGTTCCTTTATTAGCACCAGGTGCTCAGCAGTTCTGCTTCTTGCTTTCCACTCGAGCTGGGGGCCTTGGAATCAATCTGGCCACTGCTGACACAGTTATTATCTATGACTCTGACTGGAACCCCCATAATGACATTCAGGTGAGCAGAGGCAGCAGGCAGCCTTAATAACATGTTAGAGGCATAGTGGCCTCTATGAGCACTCTACCATCTGGAATTAGGTTTTTAGGTGAGAAACAACAGATTCTTTTTGTGTTGTTTACCTCATTGTAAGCTAGAGAATTTGGTTAGCTGTGGTCCTATTTTGGGTAACATGTTAGAGGGTGGTGTCTGGTGGCAGGGGTGCAAAAGGAAGTTTCCTATGAAGGCAGGCTGTCTTGTGGTGAATTTAGAATACTATGTGGAAGTCAGGATAAGAGTGGCACCAGGAAAATACAATTTCTGGCTTTATTTCCTGCTCAACTCCAGGCCTTTAGCAGAGCTCATCGGATTGGGCAAAATAAAAAGGTAATGATCTACCGGTTTGTGACCCGTGCGTCAGTTGAGGAGCGCATCACGCAGGTGGCAAAGAAGAAAATGATGCTGACGCATCTAGTGGTACGGCCTGGGCTGGGCTCCAAGACTGGATCTATGTCCAAACAGGAGCTTGATGATATCCTCAAATTTGGCACTGAGGAACTTTTCAAGGATGAAGCCACTGATGGAGGTGAGCTAGTCAGGAACTTACATTTTGGTGTGGGGCTTGGCCTCTCTAAAGGTTAGGGAGAATCTTTGATACCGAGGGTCTTGTGGGACTTGTTTTTCCACTGCAGCTGCTGAAGCTGACTTTGGGGATGTGGGCCCTTGATTTTTTATAGGAGGAGACAACAAAGAGGGAGAAGATAGCAGTGTTATCCACTACGATGATAAGGCCATTGAACGGCTGCTGGACCGTAACCAGGATGAGACTGAAGACACAGAATTGCAGGGCATGAATGAATATTTGAGCTCATTCAAAGTGGCCCAGTATGTGGTACGGGAAGAAGAAATGGGGGTGAGTATGAATCCAAGGCAATCCTGTGGTTGGTGATTGGTCTGAAAATTGGAATTAAGACCAAGGTGGTATTTGAGACAAGAGGAAAACATCTATAGGCAAATTCTTACATTGATGAATTGATACACCTCTTCCTTTGAAAACAAGGCTGATAACATGACTAATCAGATTTTCATCTTTGCCTTGGTTGTCAGAAAACTTACAACCAAATATGCTCACAACAGTTATTTTGGCTCTTTACCAGAATGTCATTTTCTCTTACGTGTTTTATTAAACCTTACACATAAAATTTTGAATGTTACCTCATCTCTCTAGAGAAAAGGCAGAAGCTCCTAGATAATCTGTCTCTGTGTTTTCTGGTTTTTATTTAAGAGACAGGGTCTCTACCAGGTGTAGTGGCTCAAGTCTGTAATCCCAGCACTTTGGGAGGCCGAGACAGGCAGATAGATCACTTGAGACCAGCCTGGCCAACACGGTGAAACCCAGTTTCTCCTAAAAATAAAAAAATTAGCCAGGCATGATGGAGCACACCTGTAGTCCCAGCTACTCAGGAGGCTGAGGCAGGAGAATTGCTTGAACCCAGGAGGCAGAGGTTGCAGTGAGCTGAGATCACGCCATTGCATTCCAGCCTGGTGTCAGAGCCAGACTCTGTCTGAAGAGGAAAAAAACAACAAAAAAAGAGACAGGGTCTGGCTCTGTCATCCAGGCTAGAGTGCAATGGCACAGTCATAGCTCAGTGCAACCTTAAACTCCTGGGCTGAAGAGTGACCCTAGTAGATGTGTGCTACCAGACCTGGTTAATTTTTAAATGTTTTTAGAGATGTCTTGCTGTGTTGCCCAGGATGGTCTTGAACTCCTGGCCTTAAGCAGTCCTCCTGCCTTGGCCTCCCAAAGCACTCCAGGTGTTACCCACTGCACCAGGTCTCCTTGTGTTTATTTTTATGTATTTATTTATTTACTTATTTATTTTGAGATGGAGTCCCACTCTCTCCCCCAGGTTGGAGTGCAGTGGTGCGATCTCAGCCCACTGCAAGCTCCGCCTCCCGGGTTCAAGCAATTCTCCTGCCTCAGCCTCCCGAGTAGCTGGGACTACAGGCGCCTGCCACCACACCTGTCTAATTTCTTTTGTGTTTTTATTAGAGATGAGGTTTCACCGTGTTAGCCAGGATGGTCTTGATTTCCTTACCTTGTGATCCACCAGCCTTGGATTACAGGGGTTACAGGCGTAAGCCACTGCCCCGGCCTTATGTATGTTTTTTTTTTGAGACAGAGTCTTGCTCTGTTGCCCAGGCTGGAGTGCAGTGGTGGGATCACGGCCCACTGCAACCTCCACTTCTGGGTTCAAGCAGTTCTCCTGCCTCAGCCTCCCAAGTAACTGAGATTACAGGTAACGCACCATCATGCTCGGCTAATTTTTTTTATAGTTTTAGTAGAAACGGGGTTTTACCATGTTTGCTGGGGTATTCTAGAACTCCTGACCTCAAGTGATCTGCCTGCCTCGGCCTCCCAAAGTGGTGGGATTATAGGCATGAGCCACCGCACCCAGCCTCCTTGTGTGTGTGTTTTTTTCTTTTTTTTTTTTTGAGACAGAGTCTTGCTCTCTCGCCCAGGCTGGAGAGCAGTGGCGTGATCTTGGCTCACTGCAACCTCTGCCTCCCAGGTTCAATTCTCCTTCCTCAGCCTCCCGAATAGCTGGGACTACAGGCATGTGCCACCACGCCCAGCTAATTTTTTGTATTTTTAGTAGAGATGGGGTTTCACTGTGTTAGTCAGGATGGTCTCGATCTCCTGACCTCATGACCCATCTGCCTCGGCCTCCCAAAGTGCTGGGATTACAGGCATGAGCCACTGTGCCCGGCCCCTCCTTGTGTTTTTTTAAAGATTAGAATCGGGCCAGGCGCGGTGGCTCATGCCTGTAATCCCAGCACTTTGGGAGGCCGAGGTGGGTGGATCACGAAGTCAGGAGATCAAGACTATCCTGGCCAACATGGTGAAACCCTGTCTGTACTAAAAATACAAAAATTAGCTGGGTGTGGTGGTGGGCACCTGTAGTCCCAGTTACTTGGGAGGCTGAGGCAGAGAATCAGTTGAAACCTGGGAGGTGGAGGTTGCAGTGAAGCCGAGATTGCGCCACTGCACTCCAGCCCGGTGACAGAGTGAGAGTCTGTCTCAAAAAAAAAAAAAAAAAATTAGAATTGGTCTATACCTTTTTATTCTCCTCTCTTCTCTTTCTTGGTCTTTTATAGTAAAAAAAGAAAATAGGATGTGAGGAATGTGTGGCTTGTTTTAATGTTTTTCTTTCCCAAATGATGTAGAGGAGTATGAAATGGGAAAATAAAATTTGTGTTTTCTTCTGGTCTTCTGTAAACCACTCAGCTCAGGGTTCTTTGAATTGGCGTTGGTTCTGGTGGTCTTTGTCATCTTTTCTCATTCTCCCACCTCAGAACCATCCACCTTGCTGTGTTTCCCTGATACTTACCTGTGATTTTGTTCTGGAAGGTAATACGTCCAACCTCAGTTTATATGTAAGTGTGGCTGAATGGTCTGACATAGGTCTGCATACTATAGTGTTCAATCAGAAACGACCCTACTAATAGAATGCTCACATTCCTTTCAGTGGCAGTGAATGTAATAGAAGTGATTGACAGGAGAGCACATGATAAGTGGATCATCCTTGTTGGTGACTACACAAATATACACATTGTTCTTTGATTAGTGACTGCAGCTGCTGTTGACTTCTTTTACAAATTTTTTAAGTTTTATTTTTAATAGATAGTAATTTACATAGCTCAAAATACACGAAAGGGCAAGATGCGGTGGCTCATGCCTAGAATCCCAGTACTTTGGGAGGCTGAGGTGGGAGGGCCGCTTGAGCCCAGGAGTTGGAGACCAACTTGGGCAACATGGTGAAATTCCGTCTCTAAGTAATAAAAACATTAGCTGAGTGTGGTTGCTCATGCTGCGGTTCTAGCTGTGTGGGAGGATCGCTTAAACCTGGTGGTCGAGGCTGCAGTGAGCCATAATGATGCCGCTGTACTCTAGCCTAGACAACACAGCTAGCTAGACCCTCTCCCAAAAAAAAAAAATACATATATATATTTATATGTACACACACATGTATCTCTTTTCTCTTCTGTCCTCTAACAATTTAGTTCCCTTCTTGGGGACAGCTAATGTTTTCAGTTCCTTTTATATCTTTACAAAAATATTTTATGTGTTTACAAATTATATATTCATACGTGTATATATACACCCACATACATGTACCCAAAAACTTTTTTTTCCTTTTAAACACAAAAGTAACGCCAATGCAATGTAAATGCCACATTGGTTAGGGAATAATAACAAGAAAAAAGTCTGTACATGTTGAGTACAGACATAATTTTGTTTTTTCTCTGAATATTTTCCATCTATGGTTGTTTGAATCCACAGGTGCAGAATCCATGGATACAGAGGGCTGATTGTAATTTATTTAACTAGTTCCATAATGATGGACATTTAGGTTGTTTCTAATGTTATGCTATTAGCAGCTGTTTAATTCCAGTATAAAGGATGTGGAATCAGTGAGTGATCCTGAAGTGTCTGAAAAAAATTCACTTTTAGAGGAGTATCAACATTTTTGGGATATAAGAGGCTGTATATAATTCTTTTCGTTTTGCAGACAGTTGGTAAGCTTTTATGAAGTTTATGAGGAACAGAAAGGCTTATAGACCTCTTTTCTTCTCTCTTATGAAAATCTTTTACAGTATTTCAGAAGCTTCTCCATTCTGCCTTGCTAAGGCTCTGACCTCTTTTCTTTTTGCTGTCTTCCGATTGTATATGCACCAGTGCAAGGGGTTAGAAGAAAGCATTCTGTCTCTTCATCTTTACCTGTGGTAATGGCTCTATCCCATGTTTTTCTTGAGTTATGCTGACTGCTAATCTATACATAATTATGAGGAGCTATGTACTCTCAATTAAATTTCTTCTAAGTTTGTAGGTCCAAACAGGCACACCAACTATTTAAGAGTCCAGTCATGAAAAGGAGCTAGCAGAGTGGGAACTATGAGGACCAGGGGTAGCTGGTGGTGCTGACTTCAGCACTCCTGAGTCCTGGCCCTCCCTCTGTCCCAGGAGGAAGAGGAGGTAGAACGGGAAATCATTAAACAGGAAGAAAGTGTGGATCCTGACTACTGGGAGAAATTGCTGCGGCACCATTATGAGCAGCAGCAAGAAGATCTAGCCCGAAATCTGGGCAAAGGAAAAAGAATCCGTAAACAGGTCAACTACAATGATGGCTCCCAGGAGGACCGAGGTGTGTGTGGCCGGCCCCGCCCCCCACCCATGGGCCGTTCCACTAGAGCAGTGGGCCCCGCTCATCTGCCCTCTCTCCCTCCAGATTGGCAGGACGACCAGTCCGACAACCAGTCCGATTACTCAGTGGCTTCAGAGGAAGGTGATGAAGACTTTGATGAACGTTCAGAAGGTGAGGGCTGTTTTTTGTTGCTTTTCTAAATATTGCTTTGTTTCATATCCTACCTGTGTCGCTCATTCATCTTTTTCTTCCTGCAGCTCCCCGTAGGCCCAGTCGTAAGGGCCTGCGGAATGATAAAGATAAGCCATTGCCTCCTCTGTTGGCCCGTGTTGGTGGGAATATTGAAGTAAGTGCCATGCGATTCTAAGGGTGGGTGAGTACCAGATATTGGATCTTTGGTGGAGTGCGACCTGCTCCCTCTCACCTGGGTTTCTTCTTCCCCTAGGTACTTGGTTTTAATGCTCGTCAGCGAAAAGCCTTTCTTAACGCAATTATGCGATATGGTATGCCACCTCAGGATGCTTTTACTACCCAGTGGCTTGTAAGAGATCTGCGAGGCAAATCAGAGAAAGAGTTCAAGTGAGTTGAGGGCTGGTGTGGACTGATCTAGAGCAAGGGCTTCTTCTGCTATCTAGCTGGTCATTCCATGGTTCTAGGCCCAGCCGTGCAGGGAAGTGGGCTGTTTCCTCTGTTGAAGTTGGCAGGTGAAGCTGTTAGTAATGTGTTCCTAGCTTCCCTGGAAGAGAACCTGGGTCTTCTTGTGGGGTCTGGAGATCAGCCTTCCAGTGTAGTGGTGGGCTTTACCTCAACGTGGAGCCATAGTTATTGCCTGTGATAATGCCTCACGAAGGCATGGAAAAAGAATCTTAAGAGTCAGCATGATCCCTGTTTAACTCATTTCTCTACTTCTTTACGCAGGGCATATGTCTCTCTCTTTATGCGGCATTTATGTGAGCCGGGGGCAGATGGGGCTGAGACCTTTGCTGATGGTGTCCCCCGAGAAGGCCTGTCTCGCCAGCATGTCCTTACTAGAATTGGTGTTATGTCTTTGATTCGCAAGAAGGTGAGCCCTGAGCCACTTGTCATTGTTAAAAGTTTCTAGGGGGCCAGGCGCAGTGGCTCACACCTGTAATCCCAGCACTTTGGGAGGCCGAGGCGGGCGGATCACTTGAGGTCAGGAGTTTGAGACCAGCCTGGCCAACATGGCGAAACCCTGTCTCTACTAAAAATACAAAAATTAGCCAGGTGTGGTGGTGGGCACCTGTAATCCCAGCTACTCAGGAGGCTGAGGCAGGAGAATTGCTTGAACCCAGGAGGCGGAGACTGGAGGGCCAATAGGAAAGGAGCCTGCAGCTGGAATTGGGTCTTCAATTTCTTGTCCCATTGCTACAGGTTCAGGAGTTTGAACATGTTAATGGGCGCTGGAGCATGCCTGAACTGGCTGAGGTAGAGGAAAACAAGAAAATGTCCCAGCCAGGGTCACCCTCCCCAAAGACTCCTACACCGTCCACTCCAGGGGATACGCAGCCCAACACTCCTGCACCTGCCCCACCTGCTGGTAAGTCTGCCTGTCCTATCATTTTCTGTCCCTCTCTTTTTGTCCTGGCCTATTTTTCTGCTCCCCTGTGCTCAGTTCTAACAGGGTAGTCTGGCAGGACACACAGCAATTTCCCTCTCAGTTTAGGAGGGCCGTCCTAAGAATAGGGCTGGCTCTTAAAGGCACGAGAGGACAATTTAAGATGAGACAAACTGGGAAGAAATGACCTTCTCTCTGATGTAGGACCTTCTTCCTAATTGATTGTCTCTTATTGTTCTGCAGAAGATGGGATCAAAATAGAGGAAAATAGCCTCAAAGAAGAAGAAAGCATAGAAGGAGAAAAGGAGGTTAAATCTGTAGCCCCTGAGACTGCCATTGAGGTAAGAGATGGGGGTGACTGAATGCCACACTAAAGACAAATGTATAAGTCCAGTCTTCCTTGTAGTTGCTGGCCTGTCTGCTTCATCTGTTTTGTTTTTGTTTTTTTTTCCTTTGAAGTGTACACAGCCCCCTGCCCCTGCCCCTGCCTCAGAGGATGAAAAGGTCGTTGCTGAACCCCCTGAGGGAGAGGAGAAAGTGGAAAAGGCAGAGGTGAAGGAGAGAACAGAGGAACCCATGGAGACAGAGCCCAAAGGTAAAGGTATCCACGTTTTTTTTTTTTTTTTTTGAGACAGTCTTGCACTCTTGCCAGGCTGGCGTGCTGTGGCGCCATCTTGGCTCACTGCAACCTCCACCTCCCAGGTTCAAGCGATTCTCCTGCCTCAGCTTCCCGAGTAGCTGGGATTACAGGCATATGCCATCATGCCCAGCTAATTTTTGTGTTTTTAGTAGAGACAGGGTTTCACCATGTTGGCCAGGCTGGTCTCGATCTCCTGGCCTTGTGATCCGCCCGCCTTGGCCTCCCAAATTGTTAGGATTACAGGCATGAGCCACTGTGCCTGGCCTTTTTTTTTCTTTTTTTCTTTTTTTTTTTTAAAAAAGGAGTTTCACTCTTATTGCCCAGGCTGGAGTGTAATGGTGTGATCTCGGCTCACTGCAACCTCCGCCTCCTGAGTTCAAGCGATTCTCCTGCCTCAACCTCCTGAGTAGCTGGGATTACAGGCATGTGCCACCATGCCTAGCTAATTTTGTATTTTTTAATAGAGGGGGTTTCTCCATATTGGTCAGGCTGGTCTCGAACTCCTGACCTCAGGTGATCCACCTGCCTTGCCCTCTCAAAGTGCTGGGATTATAGGCATGAGCTACTGTGCCTGGCTGGTATCCATATTTTTAAGCACTACAGATCCCTGTGTGAACCATGGTCACTCATGAATTTTCACTGGGGCTGTAGAGATATCAGGAGGAAGCGATACACTGAAGAATCCTGCACCCTTGATTTTAGGTGGCAGGTTTTCCTATCTCTTATGATTTTATTTATTTTTATTTTTATTTTTGAGATGGAGTCTCACTCTGTCACCCAGGCGGGAGTGCAGTGGCACAATCTCTGCTCACTGCAACTTGCGCCTCCCAGGTTCAAGCGATTCTCCTGCCTCAGCCTCCGAGTAACTGGGATTACAGGCATGCCACAACCATGCCCAGCTAATTATTTATTTATTTATTTATTGAGATGGTGTCTCACTCTGTCGCCCAGGCAGGAGTGCAGTGGCACGATATTGGCTCACTGCAACCTCCACCTCCTGGGTTCAAGCGATTCTCCTGCCTCAGTCTCCTGAGTAGTTACCATGCCCGGCTTTTTTTTTTTTTTTTTGAGGTGGAGTCTTGCTCTGTCGCCCAGGCCGATGTGCAGTGCAGTGGTATGATCTCGGCTCACTGCAACCTCCACCTCCTGGGTTCAAACAATTCTCCTGCCTCAGCCTCCTGAGTAGCTGGGATTACAGCACGCACCACCATGCCCGGCTAATTTTTGTATTTTAGTAGAGACGAGGTTTTACCATGTCGGCCAGGCTGGTCACAAACTCCTGACCTCGAGATCCACCCACCTCGGCCTCCCAAAGTGTTAGGATTACAGGCGTGAGCCACCACGCCTGGCTAATTTTTGTATTTTTAGTAGAGACGGGGTTTCACCATGTTGGCCAGGCTGGTTTCTAACTCTTGACCTCAGGTGATCCACCCACATTGGCCTCCCAAAGTGCTGGGATTATAGGCATGAGCCACCACACCTGGCTAATTTTTGTATTTTTAATAGAGATTGGGTTTTCCCATGTTGGCCATGCTGGTCTTGAACTCCTGACCTCAAGTGATCTGCCCGCTACTGTCTCCCAAAATGCTGGGATTACAGGCATGAGCCACTGTGCCCAGCTGACATTACTGTAATCACAGACATTTAGATGTAGGTCTATCCAGTTGGATAATAGTGTGTAACAGAGGAGAATGTTCTTCCTTTAGGTATATTTTCAATAACATTTCTTCCACTAGGTGCTGCTGACGTAGAGAAGGTGGAGGAAAAGTCAGCAATAGACCTGACCCCTATTGTGGTAGAAGACAAAGGTGGGTGTTTGGAGAAGTTGATTGTGGTTTAGAAGAACTCTAAAACCGGAAGCAAGGACTGTATCTGCCCTGCCTCCCTGTCCATACTCATCTAGCCATTTTATCCCAAAAGACTGCACCTGTCCCCACATTTAGTTGTCAGTGGGCCAGTGGCACCATTTTCTGGGTCTGAGAGACACCCAGGTGGAGAAGGGGTGGAGGTGGATGGATTCTTGTAGCATACAGTGTTCTGGGTAAGGGCGATGGTACTGGGCTTTGGCTGGAACTGACATTTTTCTTCCTTATATTCTGTAGAAGAGAAGAAAGAAGAAGAAGAGAAAAAAGAGGTGATGCTTCAGAATGGAGAGACCCCCAAGGACCTGAATGATGAGAAACAGAAGAAAAATATTAAACAGCGTTTCATGTTCAACATTGCAGATGGTGGTTTTACTGGTATGGAAATGAGGGGCCCACCAGGGTTAGAAGGATCGGATGTGAAATTGGGGTTCTTGTCAGAAACCGTGGTACAGGGACTTTACCTCTATTTGATGAGGGAATGCCAAACTGATAGTGTACTCCCCTGGGTTCTGTGGAGAAAGCCAGAAGCAAATTGTATAAAGATGGATCCAGGGATGGGGGATGGTGGGGGACAAGCATAAGTAGCATTTTCAATTCTCACAGATGTTTGCTTCCCCCCCCCCCCCCCCCCCCACCTTCCCTAAATTCCTCCTCAGAGTTGCACTCCCTTTGGCAGAATGAAGAGCGGGCAGCCACAGTTACCAAGAAGACTTATGAGATCTGGCATCGACGGCATGACTACTGGCTGCTAGCTGGCATCATAAAGTATCCTTTGCCTGAATCTGGACTGAGGCTTTTGGTGAAAGGTTCTGAAGGTCTCTTAGTTTGAGGTTTTTACTTTTCTTGTTTTGTTTTTCCTGAGCACTTTTTCAATAGCCATGGCTATGCCCGGTGGCAAGACATCCAGAATGACCCACGCTATGCCATCCTCAATGAGCCTTTCAAGGGTGAAATGAACCGTGGCAATTTCTTAGAGATCAAGAATAAATTTCTAGCTCGAAGGTTTAAGGTGAGCGTTTGGGGAGGAATATATTGATTGCTTAAGTGACAAACTTGAAAGTGCATAATGTCCCGCAGCAGAGGGAGTCTGTCCATCCAGCGCACCGTTCTCACTTTCTTCATTCTATGGAAGGCTTTGGTTCCAAGTAACTTACACATTAGGGTTGAAGACACACAGACTTGAAAGTTAACTAACTGTACATGAGCTGTAGGTGACTATGGTCCAATGAGCGACACTAGTGCAGAGGGGTTGGTTTGGGGAACACTGTAGATTGGAATATTCAGGAAAGATACAGAGGTGGGATTGAATTGCATCTCTGAAGTGGTAGAGCTGTATCAGTCAGTGGGCTGCTGGTTTTTTTTTTTTTTTGAGACAGTCTCTGTCATCCAGGGTGGAATGCAGTGATGCAGTCTCTTCTCACTGCCACCTCTGTGTCCTGGGTTCAAGTGATTCTCCTGCCTTAGCCTCCTGAGTAGCTGGGATTACAGGCACCCGCCACCACACCCAGCTGTTTTTAGTATTTTTAGTAGAGATGGGGTTTCACCATGTTGCTAGGCTGGTCTCAAACTGCTGACCTCAAGTGATCCACCTGCCTGGGCCACCCAGATTGCTGGGATTACAGGCGTGAGCCACTGTGCCTGGCCTCTTTTTCTGGGCTAAAGAGTAGCTGTGTGGGCCAGGCGCAGTGGTTCATGCCTGTAATCCCAGCACTTTGGGAGGATGATGCATGAGAATCGCTTGAAGCCGGGAGGTGGAGATTTCATTGAGCTAAGATTGTGCCATGGCACTCCAGCCTGTGCAACAGAGTGAGACTCTGTCTCAAAAAAAGGAAAAAAAGAAAGAAAAAGACATGTCTGTTGTCTTATACGCTGAGTATAATCGGGGAAGAAATGCACACTAATAAGCCTTCAAGTATTATGTACTAAGCAATGATGTGCCCAGGGATAAAGAGACAAAGTATGGTATCTGTTTTCAAGGAGCTTTCAGTTTCAAGTGGGAGCCCATGTGTAATCAAATGAATGCCATTCTGCATATCAGGAGAGAGATTGCTGATTGGCATAAGAAAGTTCTCCAGAATTGCTTGAACCCGGGAGGCGGAGGTTGCAGTGAGCCGAGATCCCACCACTGCACTCCAGTCTGGTGACAGAGCGAGACTCATCTCAAAAAAGAAGAGAAAAGAAAAAGGTCTCGGAGAGGCAGACACAGTGGCTAATCCCAGCATTTTAAAAGAACTGATTGCTTGAGTCCAGGAGTTCGAGACCAGCTTGGGCAACATGGCAAAATGCCACGTCTACAGAAAATACAAAAATTCGCCAATTCTGGTGGTGTGCACTTGTAGTTCCAGCTACTCGGGAGGCTGCAATGAGCCTAGATTGTGCCACTGTACTCCAGCCTAGGCATTAGAGTAAGACGCTATTTTTTTTTTTTTTTTTTTTTTGAGACAGAGTCTTGATGTGTTGCCAGGCTGGAGTGCAGTGGTGTGATCTCTGCTCACTGCAACCTCTGCTTCCTGGGTTCAAGTACCTGCCTCAGCCTCTAATTTTTGTATTTTTAGTAGAGACGGGGTTTTAGCATGTTGGCCAGGATGGTCTCGATCTCTTGACCTCGTGATCTGCCCGCCTTGGCCTCCCAAAGTGCTGAGATTACAGGCCTGAGCCACTGCGTCATCCGAGACCCTGTCTTTAAAAAAAAAAAAAAGTTCTCCAGAGGAATTGGAGTAGGGAGGGAACTCACAAATGGCTTTATGGAGAAGATGGCGTTGGAATAAAGTTTTGAGGAATGCGATGGAGATTTTTTGGTAGGAACAGAAGAGTATCTGAACAAAGGGATTAGGCTGGGCAAAGACATGAGGCAGCAAAGTTTAGTATGTCTGGAAACAGCAAATAGCCCAGTTGAGCTGTAGGGAAACATTTGTGTTGGGTGATGGTTGAGAGGTAGGTTGGAAAGACAAAGGTAGAAGAGCTAGAGGTCAGTAGGTGGGTTCTTGGCACCAGATAAGAGAGTTTGGACTTTACCCTGTTGTTAATGGGCAGCCACTGAAAGTTTGTGAGCAGAGTTTTGATAGGACCAAGGGAAATGGAAACAGCCTTCATAAGATTATAAAACTATCATATAATCATGAGGTGTTAAGGGTCTGGGCTGTGATGCTGGTTGTGGAAAATGAAAAGGGTAAAGATAAAGGAAACAAAACACCAAAGAATTTACTGGACTTAGTGACTTATTGTAGGGGTCAGTAAACCTTTTTTCCCTTCCGCAAACCAAAAATGGTTAATAAACCCCCCCCCCCTTTTTTTTTTGGAGACAGTCTCGCTTTGTTGCCCAGGCTGGAGTGCAGTGGTGACATCTCCCAGCTCACTTGCAACCTCCGCCTCCTGGGTTCAACCAATTCTCCTACCTCAGCCTCCTGAGTAGGTGGGATTACAGGCATGTACCACCATGCCTGGCTAATTTTTGTGTTTTTAGTAGAGATGGGGTTTTGCCATATTGGCCAGGCTGGTCTCAAATTCTGGACCTCAGGTGACCTGCCTGCCTTGTCCTCCCAAAGTGCTGGGATTACAGGCGTGAGCCACTGCACCCAACCAAACCTTTTCTATTAAAGGGCCAGATAGGCTTCAGGCTTTGTGGGACATGTGGTCTCTGTTGTACATACTTAACTCCGTCTTCGTTGTTGAAAGCAGCCACAGGGGATACATAAACGAATAAGTTAGGATGTGTTTCAGCATTTCATCTATGGATATTACAATTTGAATTTTGTATAATTCTCATTAAGTGGCATGAAATAGTCTTGTTTTGACTTTTTGCCAACCATTTTAAAATGTAAAACCCATTCTTAGCTCTTCAGCCATATAAAAACAGGTGGTGGGGCAGAGCGGGCCCACAGACTGTAGCTCGCCAACTCCTGACTTACTGGATTTGAGGTACGGAGTGAAAGAGACTGAAAATAACATTTTGAGCCTGAGTCACTGAGAAAGTTGAATTGTCATTTAAGAAGAGAGCGAGCAGTTTGTAGAAAAGAATGATACCGAATTTTAGACAAGTCTTTTGGTATTTCTCACAAATCAGCACCCCTCCCACTACCTACCCGCATCACCATACACTAGCGGGATCAGAACCAGTGCTCAAGGTACATGTTTGAGAAGCATCAAATCATCTGCATAGAAGTGCTGGCTGACTCTAGGAGAGGAGAAGGGTATGAGAAATCTCATATGTTGAGTCATAGGTTTTATGAATATATTTTTTAAGTAATTAAAATCTTTTCATAAATTAACCAACATTCTGCCTCTTGGGATATATTTCAAAGAACCTTTAATACAGCTCCATCAGGTGACATATGCATGAGTGTTTCTGCAGTATGATTTTTGGTGATGGGGGCCTAGAGGCGACCTAAATGTTCAGCATTAGGAGAATGCATAGGTAAAACATGTATTCATATCATGGGGCATTAAACAACAGAAGCAACAAAATTCATGTGCATACAACATAAGTGTACCTTTTAAAAAGTATGTAGTGGGAGAAGAAAAAGCATTTTATAGGTACAGAAAACATCATTCTGTAACTTAGAAACATACATATGAAACAACACAGTCTTTAAAAACCTACACAAAAAGCCACAGTATTACTATATTAGAAAGGTTGCTTTTCAGAGGAATGGAAGTGAGATGGCGATAAGAGGAAATAAAAAACAAAAATATTTTAAAATAGCAAAATAACCCTCTTTTTTTGAGACAGAGTTTCCCTCTGTCATTCAGGCTGGAGTGCAGTGGCACAATCCCAGCTCACTGCAACCTTTGCCTCCCGGGTTCAAGCATTCTTCTGCCTCAACCTCTTGAGCAGCAGCAGTTACAGGTGTGCACTACCATACCTTGCTAATTTTTATGTGTTTAGTAGAGATGGGGTTTTGTCATGTTGGCCAGGCTGGTCTTGAACTCCTGACCTCAAGTGATCTGCCCATCTCAGCTTCCCAAAGTGCTGGGATTACAGGTGTGAGCCACTGTGCCCAGCCAAAATGTGTTTTTGAAGAGTAGTTGATAAAGAGTAGATGATAAAAAGGAAAATGTTTAACTGTGTAACTAAATGAAAACATAATATGGATATGTATATAGTATGATCTCAGTTATGTAAAAAACTATGCACAAAAAAACCTAAAAAGAAAAACATCAGGATATATTTCTAGAAGGTGGGATTATCTGTTGTTAATTTTTGATATTCTATTTTCTAAATTGAGTTGTTACCGCTTTTGTATAAGAGAACCTAAAGGGTAAAGAGTTTTAAAAACGAGGACATTGAAAAAGGGAAAGAAAAAAGGTACAAGGCAAAGTTAAACTGCTTGGGTGTGGGAATGAGCTGTCCATGAAGTTATTTATAGGTTCTTACTACTATCAGAAACAATGAGAGGTGAGCTGAGAGGCCAGTCAGAAGTAAGCAAAGTGAGTTATCAGTCGAACTCCCGTTTCCTCTTATCCCTTGTCCAGCTCTTAGAACAAGCTCTGGTGATTGAGGAACAGCTGCGCCGGGCTGCTTACTTGAACATGTCAGAAGACCCTTCTCACCCTTCCATGGCCCTCAACACCCGCTTTGCTGAGGTGGAGTGTTTGGCGGAAAGTCATCAGCACCTGTCCAAGGAGTCAATGGCAGGAAACAAGCCAGCCAATGCAGTCCTGCACAAAGGTAGCCAGTGGCTCCCCTGCCTCCTGCTGATTAGGCCTCCTCCCTCATCTAACTGCATCCCAGTGTACATACATTTGTTTTCAAACCTTTTTCAGAGCTCCTTTGGGCGTTTAGGAGTTGGTAGGGACCTCTGTCATCCTTGGGGAGTTAATATGTTAGAGGCAATCAAGGACAGTAGTTCTTTGCCTCTTTTTTTTTTTTTTTTTTTTTAAAGAGGTGGGCTCTTGGCTGGGCGCGGTGGCTGACGTCTGTAATCTTGGCGCTTTAGGAGGCCAAGGCGGGTGGATCACGAGGTTAGGAGTTCGAGACCAGCCTGGCCAACATGGTGAAACCCCGTCTCTACTAAAAATAGAAAAATTACCTGGGCATGTGGCACATGCCTGTAATCCTAGCTGCTCAGGAGGCTGAGGCAAGAGAATCGCTTGAAACCAGGTGGAGTTTGCAGTAAACCAAGATCATGCCATTGCACTGGCTATCAGCCTGGGCAACACAGTGAGACTCCGGAAAAAAAAAAAAGAGATGGGCTTTCAACATTTTGCCCGGGTGGGTCTTGAACTCCTGGACTCAAGTGATCCTCTTGCCTCAGCCTCCTGAGTAGCTGGGATTACAGGCATGTACCACCATGCCCTGCTAATTTTGTTTTTTTGTTTGTTTGTTTTTTGAGATGGAGTTTTGCTCTTGTTGCCCAGGCTGGAGTGCAATGGCGTGATCTCAGTTCACCACAACCTCCGCCTCCCGGGTTCAAGCGATTCTTCTGCCTCAGCTTCCCAAGTTGCTGGGATTACAGGCGCCCGCCACCATGCCTGGCTAATTTTTTGTATTTTTAGTAGAGATGGGGTTTCACCATGTTGGCCAGGCCGGTCTCGAACTCCTGACCTCAGATGATCGACCTGCCTCTGCCTCCCAAAGTGCTGGGATTACAGGCATGAGCCACCGCGCCTGGCCACCTCTTTTAACTTTAAATATATTCAGGTTCTTGAGATGGAAAGCAAAGCAGAATAATATAGTGTCATTTGGGATACTTTAGAGGTAACTTCAGGTGATAAAAGATCCCTTCAAATTCTAGACCCCTTTCAGCGTTTTGTTTCTAATTAAAGTAAAAGGTTATGAGGAGGCGGAGGGTGAAATAAGGAAAAGAATGCTGTTATAATGGAGGTGGGAGACAGATTCTGAAGGTAGAGAAGAGAAAAAACAGGAATAAGCTTCTCAAGAAGAGGAAATACAATAATAGTAAGGGATAGTAAAGGTTTAGGTGACTTTTAAGAGCACAAAATCATGAACAGTTGGAACTGGAATATGAGGAGCAGGAATTTGAACATGGTGGAGGTCAGGTCAGGTGACAGAAGATAACACATCACAGTCACTTGGTCACTGAGAAGTGATGCTGGTCCACTAGGGTAGAGGGAGCTCAGTCTTGGCCACCACAGCTCACCACCTCTTTTTCTCCCTTTGCAGTTCTGAAACAGCTGGAAGAACTGCTGAGTGACATGAAAGCCGATGTGACTCGACTCCCAGCTACCATTGCCCGAATTCCCCCAGTTGCTGTGAGGTTACAGATGTCAGAGCGTAACATTCTCAGCCGCCTGGCAAACCGGGCACCTGAACCTACCCCACAGCAGGTAGGACCATTTTCTTCTTGACACCACCTCTTCCTGCAGAACCATTCTGGAGCTTGTAACTTTGTTGTATGTCCCTAGCTTTACATACTGGGTGGGTAGGCTGTCAGTGAATTCCCTTGAGATTGGGTGGATTCCTATCATCTGGAATTCTGACTCCTTGGGTCTCCTTCTCTAGGTAGCCCAGCAGCAGTGAAGATGCAGACTGATACCACCTCCACCGCTGAGCAGTGACCTTCCTCACTTTCTCTTGTCCCAGCTTCTCCCCGGGGGGCCGGAGAGACCCTCACCTTCCTTCTGCCCATCTTCCATGTTGTAAAGGAACAGCCCCAGTGCACTGGGGGAGGGAGGGAGTGAGGGGCAGTGGTGCCCTTCCTGCAGGAGAGACATGCAGCAGTAGCGCCGGCGCCATCTGCAGGAGCTGGCGGGCTGGCCTTCTGGACCCTGGCTTCTCCCCACTGTAACGCCTGTTACACACAAACTGTTGTGGGTTCCTGCCAGGCTTGAAGAAAATGATCTGAATTTTTTCCTCCTTTTGGTTTTATTTTGTTGGTTTATTTTGTGTTTTCTTTTCTCCTTTTTTGGGGGTATTCAGAGTGGGCTGGGCCCCTGGGCGAGACACAGCTACCTCTGTTGGCATCTTTTTAATACCAGGAACCCAGCGGCTCTAGCCACTGAGCGGCTAAATGAAATAAAGTGGAAAAAAAAAAAAAAAAAAAAACCAAAAGCATAAAAAACCACAGCAAATTTCTTGATGAAAATTGAAAATAAAAGTTTCCTTGTATTTTAGTGCTCTGGTTCAGTGTGGGTGTAGGTGCAGGTGGATGAGTGTGCAGCAGGAGCCTGGCACCTGTATAGTTGAAAATTAAGGGCTATGTGGTGTCCTGATACTCCACTGAAGAACTGGGTTCTGTGTGGGTGCAGTGTGTGCCTGGCCAGCGATGACTTCCACCTGTGGAAAATGAGAGGCTGCAAAACTCCAAGTACCACCGCTTAATGGCTCTGTGGCCCTGAGCAAGTTTAACTTCTGTGGGATGCAGGTTTCTCATGTATACCTCATACGGTTGTCGAGTTAAACCAGTCAAGTACATGCAACAGTTTTTAACACCTAACCACTACCTTAATATTAGTTTCAAGGAAGGCTGAGGGGGGTTTTCTTGCTCAGTTGTGCAAAATTGGGATGCAATTTGTGGAATAACCCAGCCTCAACCCCACACTCCCGGAGGCCCGACCTAACGTCCTCCAACCTTGAAACCCTGGTAGTTCACCCCTCTTCATGTCCCAGACCAGGTCGGCGTTGCAACCCGTTGTTTCCCAATTGTAGACCCACCTGAAAGCGAGTTCCGGCCGAGGCCCCCTGTGGACCAGGTGTAGTGCAGCACCTTAACTGAGGGGCTGAGCAGGAGTGAGCATCAAGGAAGGTGCTGGGAGGTTGGGGCACGGTGCCTCACAGCCTGTAATCTCAGCACAAAGGTTGGGGGCAGGAGGATGGATTAAGCCTAGGAGTTCTAGAGCAGCCCTGGCAACATAGTGAGACCCCACCCCCTAGACCCCATCTCTATAAAAAGATTTTTTTAAAGGGGCGGGGGCTGGGAGTAGGAGTTGAGTGGCATGGAATTCCATGAATTTTCCATGGAAAAAATTCCATGAATTTTTTTGAGATGGAGTCTTGCTCTGTCGCCAGGCTGGAGTACAGTGGCGCCATCTCAGCTCACTGCAACTTCTGCCTCCCAGGTTCAAGTGATTCTCCTGCCTCAGCTTCCCGAGTAGCTGGGACTAAAGGCGTGCGCCACCACGCCCAGCTAATTTTTGTATTTTTAACATAAGGTTTCACCATGTTGGCCAGGATGGTCTCGATTTCTTGACCTCATGATCCGCCCGCCTCGGCCTCCCAGAGTGCTGGGATTACAGGCGTAAGCCACCGCGCCCGGCTGTTTTTTGTGGGGTTTTTTGAGGTGGAGTTTCGCTCTTGCTCAGGCTGAAGTGGCACGATCTGGGCTCACTGCAACCTCTGCCTCCCGGGCTCAAGCAATTCTGCCTCAGCCTCCCGTATAGCTGGGATTATAGGCGCCCGCCACCACGCCCAGCTAATTTTGTGTTTTTAGTAGAGACGGGGTTTCAACGTGTTGGCCCGGCTGGTCTCGAACTCCTGACCTCAGGTGATCCACCCACCTCAGCCTCCCAAAGTGCTGGGATTACAGGCGTGAGCCACCGTGCCCAGCCTGGAATTCCGTTATCTCGAGGTTCGACTAGGGCAGTGGATGCCAGAGAGAGGGCCCCGCTGTCGGGCCCTGGTTCGAGGAGAGGGTGCGGCTTTCACGCACCAGCTTTTCCAACAGAAACCGGCCGTGAGGCTAAAAGCCAACTCCTTGAGGGAAGGGCGGTCACGCTCAGCGGTTTCTCGTCACAGTGCTCCCTTCACCCGCCGCGGGTGTAAGCTGCGCGGCTCTCGAATTTCCCCCTACTCGCCGCCGCCGGGTCCGCGGGCGTTCCCTGGTAGAGCATAAGTTCCGGGTGCGGCGTCCGGCTGGGCGCAACAGGAAGAGGCGGGGCCGCTAGGCTAGCGTTATCCTTGCGCCTGCGTGGAAGGACTCTGGCGAGTGCCGGCAGAAAGCTAGCTGCGGGGTGCACGTGGAGCGCGGCCCGAAGGGCAGTCTCGGGCCTTAACCCGCATTCTGGTGGGTCTAGAGGAAATTGGGGGACGAAGGGTGGCAGCCCTGACCTGGTCTGGGACGTGGGGAGAGGAGTGCACTACCTGGGTTTCAGGGTGGGAGGGCGTTCGTTCGGTCGGCCTCCAGGGGGATAGCGGGGGTACTTGGGTCGCGGGTGCTGAGTCGGGGGTGCTGAGTGAGTCGGGGGTGCTGAGTGAGTTGCGGGTGCTGAGTTGAGCTTGTCCCCTTTCCCACTATAGTACGCCAGGCCTGCGTTCTGCCGTTTCCTTCGGCACGCGCGACGCCACCTTCTCTCATTTCTGTCTGCCATAGTACCATGGGGCGCAAATTGGACCCTACAAAGAAGGAGAAGCGGGGGCCAGGCCGAAAGGCCCGGAAGCAGAAGGGCGCCGAGACAGAACTCGCCAGATTCTTGCCTGCAGGTAAGGATTAGTTGTGGTCTCCTGATCCCTCAGCTTTTCCAGTATTCTGTATCATAACCTCTTCTCTTTTTTAGTCTTTGTTCATTTTCTATTTAAGTGGAATCTTCTATGTATTAGTTACTAGGAGGTATGAATGAAACACTGTCGTTTAGATTGTAGGGAACTGTTTAGGTCGTAGAGATGTGAGGACACGGACACAACTATTCATGCAAGAAAAGGTGTGATTTAAAACATTGTGAGTTCAGAGGAAGGGGGGATCCCATGCAGAACTGCATGTTAAGCTGGGTTTTGAAAAATGGGTTAAGTTGTACCAAGAGGAAGTAGTGAAGGGGAGGGGTCAGTTTTTTGGAAGGAATGGAAATGGAAAAGCACGGATCCGGCTTCTCCATGCCAAGTAGTAGTCTACTGTGTGGAAGACTGGTGGGAGATAACACAGGACCTGGAGTTTGTGTTGGGCTTTGGATAAAGGATGCAGTTTATTGAGATAGTAGCAAGTCCTGGGCACTATGTTGAACTTGTTGGTCTTGTTATGTCACTTCATCATCTTAGAGTCCTGTGAGAGAGGCATTATTAAGGAAATGGAGGCGGAGAGGTTAAGAAACTTGTATAGCCAGGCTCAGTGACTCACGTCTGTAATCCCAGCACTTTGGGAGGCCGAGGCAGGTGGATCACCTGAGGTCCGGTGTTCAAGACCAGCCTGGCCAACATGGTGAAACCGTGTCTCTACTAAAAATACAAGAATTAGTTGGGTATGTGGTGGGAGGCTGAGGCAATAGAATCGCTTGAACCTGGGAGACGGAGGTTGCAGTGAGCTGAGATCACGCCATTGCACCACTTCAGCCTGGAAGACCAAGAGTGAAACTCCATTTCAAAAAAAAAAGAAACTCATACACAATTATTAAATAATGACAGGGCTGAGATTTAAATGGACTCCTTTTAATTAGTGTACTAATTCTCTTACCATGTTTATTTCCATTCTCATTTATTTTCAGTGTCCCCTGTAACTTGTTCTGCCTCGTTTTTCTTTTTCAAACAGTAAGTGACGAAAATTCCAAGAGGCTGTCTAGTCGTGCTCGAAAGAGGTAAGTGTGGGTGTCAGGACTTAATTGGTACTGCTCATCTTTGACCACAGAGTTAATTCCGGACTCTTACTTTTCCCTATGGTGGAAATGGCAGAGCCTGGAAATATCTTTCCATTTCTTTACTCCTTGAATCTCTTGTGTCTTTTCAGGGCAGCCAAGAGGAGGCTGGGCTCTGCTGAAGCCCCTAAGACAAATAAGTCCCCTGAGGCCAAACCATTGCCTGGAAAGCTACCAAAAGGTCAGTGAAACTAAGAGCTGGATGCTACATGAGGAGTCCTCTGGGTCCTGGGTAGGGAAGGACTTGCTAAACATTTCTGGAATGAAAGGAACAGCCAGAGGACATTCTGAGGGGTAGAAAGTACAGGCTCCCAGGGTGTGGGGCCAGGGAATGTGTGGCTGCCATTAGTCCAGGACTCGTCAAACCCTTAGGGATCTTTGCAGGAGCTGTCCAGACAGCTGGTAAGAAGGGACCCCAGTCCCTATTTAATGCTGCTCAAGGCAAGAAGCGCCCAGCACCTAGCAGTGATGAGGACGAGGAGGAGGAAGACTCTGAAGAAGATGATGTGAACCACGGGGACCACTGGGGCTCCGAGGATGATGCTGATATGGTAGATGACTATGGAGCTGACTCCAACTCTGAGGATGAGGAGGAAGGTGAAGAGGTGAGATTCATCTCTGGGCATTCAGAGAAGGATCCTTGCTATTTAGTTTCTTTCCAGATTCTTGAGACTGTTTCTTAGTGGCAAGGATAAGCCTGACTAGAGGAAAGGGGTTTTTGTGCTCCATCACTGTTTCCCTACTGCCTTATATCCTCTCCCAGTGCACCTACAAGTTTGAAGGAGCTGTAGGATAGAGCATTTAAAAATATCTAGAAGGCTCTCTTGGTGTGGATGTGGGAAGGTGGACAATGGTGTGCTCCACTGATGGGAACAGAAATGCACTTTTTATAAAGCACTTATCTCAGAACTTTGAAATATTTGTTCCTTTTGGCTGGGTATGGTGGCTCACATTTGTAATCCCAGCACTTTGGGAGGCTGAGGCAGGAGAATTGCTTGAGCCCAGGAGTTGGAGACCAGCTTGGGCAACACAGGGAGATACCGTCTTTACAAAAAATTTAAAAATTGGCTGGGTGCAGTGGCTCACGCCTATAATCCTGGCACTTGGGAGGCCGAGGTGAGCGGATCACCTGAGCTCGGGAGTTGGAGACCAGCCTGGACAACATGGCAAAACCCCATCTCTACTAAAAACACAAAAATTAGCTGGTGTGGTGGTGTGCACCTGTAATCCCAGCTACTCCTAGCTACCCGGGAGGCTGAGGCAGGAGAATCGCTTGAACCTGGGAGGCGGAGGTTGCAGTGAGCCGAGATCGTGCCATTGCACTCCAGCCTGGGCAACAAAGTAAGACTCTGTCTCAAAAGAAATTTTTTTAAAGTTAAAAAAATTGTTTAAAAATTAGCTGGGTGTGGTGGCGTACGCCTATAGTCCCAGCTACTCAGGATGCTGAGGCGGGAAGATGACTGGAGCTTGGGAGGTTGAGGCTGTAGTGAGCTGTGATCTTACCACTGCACTCCAGCCTGGGTGACAGAGTGAGACTGTCTCAAAAAAAAAACACAAAAACTTCTTCCTTTTGACATAGTAATTCCCTATTAAGGAAGATGATCCAAAACATCAGCAAATCGTTCTTTACTGAGGTGCAGGAAATTATTATACAATTAGTATGTGGATGTATTATTAGAATCGTATAGAAAAAAAAGAGAAAGTCCCCATGTGCACCCCTTTCTTCCATCCCTTTGTATCTATAGGGTCGTTATTAGGTTTGCAGGCACCATGTGGATCATAATGCCAAAAACTCTGGAAACTTCCAAAATATACAATTAAGTAAGTTATGGTTCATGCATATGATGCAGTTAACACTGGTCATTGTGTCTATGAAAATGCCTGTGATCTAACTGAAGTCTAAAAAGCAAGAAACAAACTTGAAAATGGATTATGTGAAAAATACAGAGTAACTCTAAAAAAATATGGCAAAATGGACCAGGCGTGGTGGCTCACACCTTTAATCCCAGCACTTTGGAAGGCTGAGTGGGCAAATCACCTGAGGTCAGGAGTTCGAGACCAGCCTGGCCAACATGGTGAAACCCCGTCTCTGCTAAAAATACAAAAAATTAGCTGGGCATGGTAGTACATGCCTATAATCCCAACTACTTGGAAGGTTGAGGCAGGAGAATCGTTTGAACCTGGGAGGCGGAGGTTGCAGTGAGCCAAGATTGTGCCATTGCACTCCAGCCTGGGGGACAAGAGGAAGACTTCTCTAAAAAAAAATATGGCAAAATGGTAGTCAAGAGCAATTTTTGTCCTTTATATGTGCAGGTATTTTTCAAGTTTTTTTTTTTTTTTTTTCTTAATGGAAAAGTGAAAAACACATAATAGTAGAAAGAAAAATGTAATGAACCCTTTAATTCATTACTTGGGTTGTTTTTTTTTTTTTTTTTTTTGAGATGGAGTCTTGTTCTGTTGCCCGGGCTGGAGTGCAGTGGCTCGATCTTGGCTCACTGCAACCTCCACCTTCCGGGTTCAAGCAATTCTCCTGCCTCAGCTTCCTGAGTAGCTGGCGTGCACCACCATGCCCTCATTACTTAGTTTCAACAGTGATCAATATTGTGCCAATTTTATCTTCATTTCTTTGCCCCTCTATTTCCTTCTGAGAGCAAGTGTTGGATTTTTATTTAGCGAGAACATAAGATACAGAGATAGAAAGTGCTACAAGGGCTGATGGAAGGGCAGGCCTGTATTAACAGCCCTTGTGTCTCTTCAGCTGCTGCCCATTGAAAGAGCTGCTCGGAAGCAGAAGGTCCGGGAAGCTGCTGCTGGGTGAGTTTTGGAAGCTATTGGGATGGAGCATAGGCAGCGGCTAGGGTGGGGAAGCTGTGTAGGAGGAGGAGGTGTCTGTTTTGGTCTGTGAGTCACTCTGTTCTTGGACCTGTTTCTAGGGTCCAGTGGAGTGAAGAGGAGACGGAGGACGAGGAGGAAGAAGTGACCCCTGAGTCCGGCCCCTTAAAGGAGGAGGAGGCAGATGGGGGCCTGCAGATCAATGTGGATGAGGAAGCATTTGTGCTGCCCCCTGCGGGGGAGATGGAGCAGGATATCCTTGCAGGACAGAGTGAAGAGTTAGGAGGAAGGTGCTTGGGAGAGGGATTTCCAGGCCCCAGGACATCATGACACAGTTCCTTAACAGGCCCACATGCCCCGGCTCCAGACCTGCAGCGAGTTCACAAGCGGATCCA